TAGATGCTAGAATTTATTGTTACCTTTCGGTTGTACTGCATGTTTTTGGGAAAAAATTATCCATACCCGGCGGACTGTCTCCGAGAATCGTAAAAGTATATATAAATAATATTATCGATATCGCAATGGAATTAACGGCGTTCAAAGATGATTTTCTTGCGGACATTTTATCAGAATTCAAGTGGTTGAGCGAATTCAACACCTACAAGATAAAAGACATCTTAGCAAGTGTCAAGACAAAGGCCAACGGGATCTTAAACGACTTGAACGGTACCGGCATGAGCAAAATCGATCGGCTCAGCATCAACGTCAACGAACAACAACTGCCTACCGTCACCGACTGGGACGAATTGTTAAAAAGATCCATTAGGGAATTTGAAATCTATTTAAACAACTTAAAAGGCTACTTGCCGTTACAATATCAAGTGTTTTTGCATTTTGCCGATGTAGTTTAAATATGGCCGCTGATCCATACGTTTAAATTTTAAAACAATTTTTTATATTCAAATCTAGTTATAATGATATAAATGAAAATGTTTTATTAAAAAGAATTGCAACTTTTAAAAAAACAGTATAAAACATTTTTTAGATAAAGTATGATCATTATACAAGTTGAAAAACCAAAAAATATCATTTGTTCATACCAATGTTTTCGTATAAAATTATTTACTTAGGCTTTTTTACAATTTAACACAATCAAAACTTTAGCAAACGCTTAACGTCTTGCGAGTATAACAGTTTAGTATTAGTTACACCATATCTTGCGAAAGACTTATTTTTACTATTAATTAGAAATTTAAAAAAATAGCAATGACTGCCAACATTTGTACATTTTTGCTATGTTTTTTTACTATAACGTTAAATATAAAAACAACTGAATCAGTAGACCTCCGGGTAAGAATTGATTTAACACTATAATTTATCTGTGAATTTATTTCGTGCTCATTTTTTGCTGTTGATAGCAGTTGTACATTATACAAATTAATTTTTTACTTTAAAATGTTTTGTAATAATAAAAAAAAAGCTTCTAAAAATATATATATATAAAAGTACCATGTTGTTTTGTAAAAATATACATACAACTAAGAATATTTGTTTGTACAAATGAGGTGTTTCTATTCATTTGTAGTCTTAATAATAAATTTTCAGACATTATAATAAAAAAAGCCAGTACAGCAGGGCGGGGCATAGTGGGGACGGGGAGATCACAGGCCAACAGAAATTATTCTAACTAAAACTGATAAAGTCACTTTTAAATAAACGCTTAAGCTCTGCATTTTCCATGTATTTAAATTTAAAGTAATGAGGTTAATATTCTTCGAGCAGGTATGTTGTTTTATTAATTTAACATTTAACACTTTAGCTTATTAGCATTTTTATTTTGTAACAAAAAATAAAATAAAAATGTATGCAATATTACAGAACTTATACAGGTATTTCATACAAGAGTATTACGCTTTGCTTGTTCTGAAAATGTGTCATATTTTTTGCTATTTATAATATTGGCAAATCTGTAAGTCTGTCTTGTCTTATTGAGACCTTTAGCCAAATCTTTATTTTCTTAAAGCAAAAAACGAGCATTCACAAGACGCAGAACTGATGGGGAGAGTGATAGCCACATGAAATAGATAAATAATACGGAATAATAAGTACTGTTACCAACTCTGCAAAAAGCTTTTGGTTTTTTTGATATTAAACATTTTTGTAAATAGGAAAGTTATTAAGTTCATTTTATTTTGAAGCCAAATAATCATTAGATATATATTATAGTTAGATTGTTACAAGGCTGACCAAGTCACATTTTTCATTTTGAATAGTTTAATAACATGTATTATGTGTTATTAAACGAAAAAATTAACTTTTCTAACAATAATCTAAATTATTGAAGGTACTTTATTTTTAATAATATAAAATTTATATATTTCTTCAGATTTATCCTGTACGATTTTTAAGATCATTTACTGGAGACTATGTAAGTATCGTACAAAAGTGTAATACATTCAACAAACGTCGAATTTCCATCAAACCTGAATACCGGAGTGTTCTGACAGTGCCTATGGTCTACCGCCATATTCAAGATTACAAATTACATATGAAAAGCCTGGTTAAATTCGAGAAAAAAGTTCAGGACATCAGATGTAGTTTTTGTGTAATTGCAAATTCTAACATACCGTACTTGAAGAACTTAGTTGATGAGTTAAAAAGAGGGAAACCTTTCGTTGATAAAGAGGATAATAATATAAAACGTCTTGAACGGGAAGCCGAACTTATGGTTCTCCTGTTAGCGTTTGAAGATTTAAAAGCGGGCAAATGGCTTTGGAGTTATTTTTTGAAAATCATTGCCATCGGCAAGTTCGAAGACAATACAACTTTTATCCACGAAAACCCGTTCGAAGACGTCCAACTGCAAACAGGCGTTTCAGATTTCATCAGGAAATGTATGGCAGAAAAATACCTACCTTCGGCTGCGATTGAATCAGACTTTGTTTTGAAAAACACCAGAACATACATTAAGATGTTTCGTCATCTAAGCTACTCCGGACAGTATTTGGGCGTTTTACCCAACCCGGATTACAAAGCAACTATAGAATTTTTATTTCTTAAACACTTTTGGGACGACCAAGGACAGCCGTTGTTGTTTGGGCAAATACCAGAAGCCAATGTCGACTGGAGTACGGCGAAACAAAGACATCAAGACGAGATGGTTATCACCAGAGAATTTGTGCGAAATCGCAAATGGATACACGACCCGTACGGTCGTCTCGACCACCATCACTTGTTGATCAACATTATAGATGCTAGAATTTATTGTTACCTTTCGGTTGTACTGCATGTTTTTGGAAAAAAGTTATCTATACCCGGCGGACTGTCTCCGAGTAACGTCGTAGAGTTTATAAATATAATTATCTATGCCGTAATGGAATTAACGGCGTTCAAAGACGTTTTCCTCGTAGATATTTTTTCAGAATTCAAGTGGTTGAGCGAATTCGACACCTACGAGATAAAAGACATCTTAGCAAGTGTCAAGACAAAGGCCAACGGGATCTTAAACGACTTGAACGGTACCGGCATGAGCAAAATCGATCGGCTCAGCATCAACGTCAACGAACAACAACTGCCTACCGTCACCGACTGGGACGAATTGTTAAAAAGATCCATTAGGGAATTCCAAAACTATTTAAATAACTTAAAAGACTACTTGCCGTTAAAATATCAAGTGTTTTTGCATTTTGCCGATGTAGTTTAAACATGGACGCTGTTCGATCGTGTACATTTTTAACACAATTTTTTTATATTCAAAGCGAGTTATAATGAAATAAATGAAATTTTTTATTAAAAAGGATTGCAGTTTTTAGAAAAACAGATGTCGTCGAATAAATTCGGAAATGTAAATTATTTACTTAAGCTGTTTAAATTATTGAACATAATTAAAAATATGATCTACCGTATAATGTTGTCGAAAACATATAATAGTTTTGTGTCAATTATACCATCCTGCATGAAATACTTTAATTTATATTATACCTAGTCATAGTATACTATTTTAAAATAATAAAAACATATTTTTCACACAATGTTCATACATCAATAATTTTGTAAAACCGTTGCACTCACAGTTTTCGCATCAAAGCTAATAGTTTTAAACGGTTAAATATATTTATTTGTTTTTGCATTTGCACATTAATTCACATTTTTCAAAATGGTTGTGTATTTTTAATGTACAATTTATTGATCAATGCAATAATTATAGAATATAGATAAATGCATAATGTATTTAATTATGTATATTATAAATTTACATGTTTATGAAATACATTTACATTCACCTGATTTGATTACAGTTACTCCAATAATCTTAACATAAATACTATTTGAAATTCAAATGTATTTATTAGGCACTTATGCACTTTATCAATTATGTGTTAAACATATAAAACGAATTAGATGGTTTAATTATTTTAAATAGACATTGTCGAGAATTGAAAACAACCGAGGGCGTCCAAAAATTAAAAAGTAAGTCTATAAGTAAAAAAATGTGCACGTGCATTTTTCAAATATTTAAAAAAGTATATTTTTATACTAGACGCAAAAAATATTAAGATTACTTATGTGAAACTGTATCGGTTTGTAAATAAAGCAACAGAAATTATATTGCTTTGACGATTTATAAAAACCAATACCACATTATCTGATTTGAATATACATATAAAAATGCATATAACATTCAAAAGTCAAAATTAAAAAAAAATCAATTGCATTACAATGATTTACCAAGTTGTTTTTTTCGATTTATCAAGAACTTAACTAAATAACGAGGCGTTTTTTTCTAAACTTTGCACTGAATCATAAAAACATTTCAATTATATTTCTAGCTACAGCCTACACGTGCTACACGTGCTAAAATGTTGGGTACCTATTTGTGTACACCGGTATGAACTATATAGATACAAATTTAACTATGTTGGGCTCCAACAACACAACACAGACTAATAAAATAATAATTATTATTAACTTAGGTGTTGGGTGTGTCTAACTTATATTTTTAAGGTATAAGATCCCTTTAGAAAGTAATAGGTGATAACCTATTACTTTCTAACTTATATTATGTTCCTGTAACCAAAGTGAGTAAAAAAAAAATTAAAAACTGTAGTTACACGGGACATATTATTATACCTACTAATGCTATGCACATGTAGATGGACTGTATAGATAGTTGGTGTCGGCTACGACGAAGAACTGCTACAACTTGAATAGACACACAAAACAAAATTAGTCACGGTCTATAGAAATGTGGATGTGTGAACTGAAAGACCATGTCATAGTACCCACATAATAACAATGTATGGAATGTCCAGCATATTATATCATGTTGTTATCTAACTATAAAAACGTAGGTACGTGCAAGTTTCAATATTACAAAACCGAATCGGTATATATCAATCGTTATAAACTGATCATTTCTCAGTTTTTAATATTTCAATAATTCCCCTGTTATGCAGAAGACTCAGACCTCAGTATATATATATTATAATTATCCCTGTCTACACTATACTATTTATACACGTGGTTGGTGGTTGCTATGGTGATAATATTATGGCCCTGACATACAACAGTAGCAGGCAACTTTCATGTCGCTATAGAATTGTATATTTACCTGCTTAAAAAAACACTGATCCTGATTACGGCGTTTATATTATTAATTTTTCTAACGCATTAGATAGTAGTAAAATGACATTGAACAGCAACGATAGCGTTGTCGCAAATGCTTCATGCACATATTCAGACATGGTCGAGACTTCTGCGAAAATGTTAGAAAATTATAGTATAGTTAGCAGAAAACAGCTGGATAAAATCGTGAACAATTCAGAGAGATGTTTGGTAAATATGATTTTTAATAATATATTTTTTTGTATAATTTTAATCAACGACTGTTTATATAGACCGAAGAAGAACACCGGTGGTTAATCAAGCGAGAATGTGCTAAAGTAATTTCAGAGATAAACAGGTACCTATCACCTATCTATAGGCACCATGTGGTGTATAACTATAGGTATATATCATGCTATGTAATTTAAGTCACAGTCAACATCAGTTAGACTCCCAATAGCAACAGAGGAGTAGTACTTAGAGTTCAGACCTTTAGGAGGGATTTGGGAATAAGTGGACGAAAAACTGTATAGTAATGAGTCATTACTCTAAATACTTATTATTATAATCGTTAAAATTTTAAACTGTAACAGATTTAAAAAAAAAACTCAGCAATTAAAAGGCAGAACATGGGTGCAGTTTGCACTTAATTAATTTCCTCGTGGCGAATAGCAACAATTTAATTTTTTTTTTTTAAATCTATACTTACTCGAGTAATATTATATTATTGACAATATATACTTCATATTTTACAGACGAATACAGCAAAATTATTCATTGGACATTGATCTGGAAGAAGAAAATTACATGTTAGATGCCAGAAACCAATATGCTGTGTTATCGAAAAACGAATATTGTCAAAATAATAATTTGTCTGTAAACAATTTTATCATACAGAATAATGTAACAATTGTGAATTTTAACCAGGCTAATGTCAATTTGAGCAGTCAATACATCACACACGAGTATGATGACAAGATTTTCGAGACAATCAAGTATAAAAACAGAAATCGCAATAATTCATTAGACGGGTGTACGTTGTACAACACGAATTTACAGAAAAAATATTGGATAAAGTGGAGAGATTACGTTGTGAGAAAGAAAATGTCGAATAAGACTACTAGTAGAGATTGCAGTAAAATAGATATGTTCTTGACACAAATTCGAGAAAAACTCAACGAAAAACAGTCGATGAAAAAGTCCAAGACAAACAAAGAACACCACCGTAATGGTAGGGTTGCTAAGCAAATCAAAACTGCCCATGACCGTCAGCAGACAAGAATTGAAAGCCAAAAGAAATTACTGGAAAAACAGCAAAAGGAAATCGAACGGCTGAAAATACAGCAGTTGAAATTGGAATCCGAAAAAGCCATGTTGGAAAATCAAAAAATGTTACATCGAATGGCCGAGAACAAGCCAAAGACAACAACAAACAGCTTTAAGAGAAGGTCCACGTCGATGATACCAAGCACTTCGGATATCTTGAATCGAATGCAACTGAGAGCTTTGGACCGCCAAGCCAAATGGGAAGGCATCAAAGAGAGGCGTAGAGCGATGGAGCAAGACGAACGTCGCAAGAAAGAAGAGCTGGAAGAAAAATCGCTGAGAGAACAAATGGAATTGAAACGCAAAAAGTTATTCGAAGCCCGCGAAAACTTGAGACAGAAAAAAATCCAAGAATGTAAACAGCAAATGGAAAGAGACGTTTTGCGCGAAAAACTTAGCGTTGCTGCAGAATTTGACCGCAAGTTGAAAATAAAAACGGGCTTGGATGCGTTTAAAATCAATTTGAACAACGTCCGAATGGAAATGCGGAGAGCTTCGGATTTCTACGATTATAAAACGGTAGCGATGATTTTTAATAAATGGAGATTTTACACTAACAACGTAATAAACGAACAAATCCAAATTTCCGAACAACATTACAAGAAAAATCTATTGAGAAGAACTTTCCACGCTTTTTATAAGGTGATTACAAACATAATATTATATTATATAATAATTATACTTGGGGTTAACGCGGGTCACATACACGTGTCAAAATTAATTTAATTTTAAACCACATTTTTAATATTACCCTTAAATCATTAAAACATTAAAAAGGCGCAATTTTATTCGAATTATGATGATAAAATTAAATCCTCTTTAATCTAAAATTTTGTTATATTGTTATTTTATGGATAATAACTTCAACTTTTTCAAAGAAGTTAGATCTTACTTTTTTGTTAAGTAGGTATTAAAAATGTGCAATAATTATTTATTATTTATATGTCTAAATTAAATGTATTCAAAAATTTAGAATATTGAAAAAACATAAGTTTTGCTGCTGATTAAATACATTAATACAATTCCAATATTTGTTAATTTGCATTGCTTACAATATTAATAAATAAGATATATTAGTATACATAATTTAATTAGGTGTATCTTAGATATATTATCTAAAAAATTAAATATAATTGTGAGATTTTACATGACACCTTTTTAATAACTAAGATTTTTTTTTTTAATTGGTATTTTTGTGGTTTTTTACTGTAGTTATTATACTTGGACATTAATTTATTACTTGAGTTTTTAGATTCTAGAAGATAACAGAATAAAAGAACAAGTAGCCGAAGACTGGAATAATTTTAAAATTCAAGAGTGTTGGTTTCAAGAGTGGCTCAACTACACAAGAGAAATGCAAAAGCAAATGGAAAAGAAAATATTAAGAGCAGAATTACATCATAACAGGTGAAAATAATATAGTATTGCTAACAAATTACAAATTCAAAACCACTTAACAGTTATTTAGGCATGCTTCATTATACATAGACAGTTTAAAAGGCCGTGTTCTATACAGCTTTAATTTGTTGCTTATTGCAAATCTATTAAACCAGACAAATATATGGTATATGTACCTGTTGGTAGTCTATGAAAAAAAATTAGCCCGGGAAATAACATTTCATCGGCTCAAAGTACCATTTCTTTTGGCCAACTTTAATTAAAATACTCCGAACTAATTATTTAAGTCATTTAGAATAACAAACGGCACCAGAAAAAACTTGCAATTTTGTCTAACTCTTAAAAACTTGCTAATAATAAGTATTTTCCATTGAAATTATAATATCAACAAAATAAAATCATCTTACAATACACTAATAAACATTAACAATTATTTTAACTATATACAATGTAGCTTATCCTAATTGACCTGTTAAAAGTATTGATGGTTACGTCGTGACATATGAAGTATGAACCTATCATAGCGATCAATAATTTTGATAATAAATAAAAAATAATATTTTAATTTATAAATTGTACAAGTTGTTTTATTATTAAACAGCCAGCCTCATGGCAAACATGATATAGATTAATTCGATAGTTTTATTATAATCGGTGCTGTGACGGACTTTGTTTAGAACTACACAAATCTAGATTATCATTATAAACATTAGTGTGTTTAGACAATGACAATGTGTACCGGTCTCTGTATTTAAACAATTAATAAGTTTGCAATGACTAATATGTTAAATCGTTACTTTTTTAGAGTCATAACGAGACATTGTTTTAATAACTGGAGAAAATATCCAGAAATTGTCTACATGGAAAGACTTAAAGACGGCAGACTACGAAAATGGCATGAAAAGGTGCAAGAAATTTTACCAGATTTCATTCCACCCGATATTTAAGACCAAATGTTTATTAGACTAATACATGAAAAATAACTCAAATTTTACATTAACATAAAAAGTAAACAATAACTAAGTTTAAATATAGATTATAATATAATAATGCCCCTAAAGGCAAAGTTATTTTTGATATTATATTCACTACTATTTTCTGTTAAGATAGTTTTTTTTATGAAATAAAGTTTTGAAAATTACTGCAATTATTTAATTGAAATGTATTTATGATTTTTCGTAAAATAACTTCATACGCTATTTATGAATGTTTTCCAATTAAACATTACATTTCTTAAAATATGTCTGGACCAAAAAAATTGACGATCTATTCCTTTGCAACGCTCCTGCCATTCATGGTTTGTGACATCCATCGACACTAAAATCACATCATTTATAAACATACATAACAATAAACCAGCGACGACAAAACAATACAGCCCAGTCACAAAACATATACCATACCTAAAATTAAAAAAAAAAAAAAAAGGTATAAGTTTTTTGTTTTGTTAATTACGATGACCTATATAGAAAGTTTATCGTACATTATGTCAAAATAAACATCACTGCAGTCATCTGGCAACATGACTGTCGCAAAAACATTGAAGGGATGACATAATGTTGTGAGAATAAGATTCGACAAAAATGTAAACATAACAGTACCCAATAGAAGTCCTGAAATATACGGTTTTCTGTTATATTTGCCGATACAGCAGTCTATCCTAAAAAATAAACTAAGATTAATTAATTTCTTAGTTGTTTTACTTAAAAATATAATCAGAAACGAACCAATAAGAATGTACATGTTGATGTAGTACACATGTCTTGCACACATAACAATGATACGTCCGCGATGGTACAGGTTGTCTGCACATTGTGCATAACGTTCCTTCTTCGTGTAATAAAACAACATTTTCATCTGTACCATTGGTATTGGTCATTTCCAGTTCTTGTTTTACATGACACTTAATTGCATTCTTTTTTGCAAAATAAAAACACACTGTGGTCGCTGCCATTATGATTATAATTGCAATGTTTTCGTTGTTGTTAATGTCCAACATTGGTACGACCATTAACTGGAATATTATAAACACTAAAAATGCCGAAGTCAGTGTCCACACGTAGAAAAATTTCGTAGGCACTCTAAATTTTCGAACAGTCCGGTGAACGAAATACAGAAACAATGTAACCAATGGGAACAAAATTATTGTAGGCCAAAATCCTTGAGCAGCAATGTACAAAGCGGCTGGGAAAATAATTAACGGAACAGCAGAGTCTAAAGATATTTGTCGCGCTCCACCATGCCACGGTATTCTAAAACGATCTTGGATGTTGGCAACGATAACATTAATTTCTATTTTCTTAGATGGTGGACATCTGAAAATACTGAAATATTATAAAGAAATTAAAAACAAAAAATCCATGCATATTTTGAGTAATGGCCTTTTTTGAACATTACCGTTATAATTTGTGTTAGTTTTTGGTCAAGCGATGACACTTAATATTGGAATTATTTTTAATACATTTAAAGAAAAAATGATTATTACTATATACTTGATGTATATTGCTCAATGTAAAAACATTGAGTAAAAATTGTAATATTTGATACAATTTTGTATTTTAATTAAAAAAAACAGAGTTTAGACAGTACTTATTTATTATTTAATTAACTATTTATTAGTTATAAAAATAAATTTCCAAAATAGTCTGGTAAATTAAAGAAAATAATAATTGAATAGGTTTGAATAATTTTTTAATGTGAGCATTTGTTACTTAACTAAGAACCACATTTTACGGAAATTGAGATTGTTGTGCCATCTAGTAGAGAATTGGGGACTTTATTGTATGACGAAGACTTAGGTATGTAAACTGTATTCAGAAATTTTCCCACAAATTTGTAATATTTAGTGTTTATTCAGTTATTTAAAATAAAATTTGTTTTTCTCAAAATTACGATGAACTAAAGTGGGTCTTCATTTCTTTTTGCAGTGTTGTGAATAGTATAGAAACATTTTTTTTTGCATTTAGTACTATGTTTTTAAAAGAATAACATTTGATATCCCTAACTATGTGATGTAAAATACTAGTTACTTGCTTGTCATTTAAATAAAAATAAATGTATTTTTTCATTGAAATGTACAGTATTCTATTTTATGCAGTTTAACACATCTCATAGTACTAATTAGTAATTACGGGTAAAACAACTTTTTGCAAGTTAATTTGAAATTTGCGTTGCAATTATTTTTTGAAATTATGTAAGGCTTAAATTCAAAATAATTGGTTGTATATACTGTGGGGAAACATTAAACTAAATCAGCTGTACACGGAAATCAATTACCTTTTTAAAAAACTTTTAAGTAAATATACTGAGAATATTCAAAAATATATAAATTTTTTTTTAAATAGCTTTTATCAAGTATTTTAAATATACACATAACTAAACTGTTTAAACAGTTCCTTTCAATGTATGAATGATTAAATTGTTGTTCAAAATAAGGCCTTAATTTGTTAAAAATGTCATATATTTACGTTGAACAGCAGTTACCACATGGTGGACAGATACAAATGTCTGATACTATAGTAGACTTTTCTTCATGCATGTTAATGTACTCACAACAATTCAAATTATCCGACTGATTATCGTTCATTTGTAAACAAAAAATGTCACACTCCAATGTTACAATACATTATAAGAATATGCCTTTGAGGTTGAATTCAATTACACTTCTATAACATATAAAATATTTATTTATTTACAAAACTGAATTATAAGCAAAAAAATATATTTACATCATATAAAACTTATTAATTAATTAAAATCGAATGTATGATATTATTCCATTGGGAGAGCATCCTTGTTTCTTCCGAATATAACCATGTCAGCTTTTGGTTGAGCGTTTTTACCATATCCACCGCGACCAATATCGTAGTCTGTCCTGTATTCGTCTCGAACTTGCCCACCAGTTTTTCCTCGACCATATTGTCGGCCTTCTACAAATCCTGCATCCCAGTCTGTTCTAATGATGCGATCATCCAGTCGGGTGCCGTTCACGTAGCGCATGCAATTGTCAGCATCGTCTCTCGTGTAGTATTCAATAAAACAGAAACCGCAAGGCGTTTTTTTAAATTTGTCAAGTCCCATGACGATGCGTTTGATATCCCCGCATTTGGAAAACAGTTCATAAATTTGACCTTCGGTAGTGTAAAATGCCAAGTTGCCCACATACATTGTAGTGGACGTTCGTAGCATTCGGTCGAGTTCTGCTCGAGACCCTTTGAAATGTTGATCGCGGTACGAACTCATGTCGGCCATCGCGGCAAGTAAGCGACGTTCGACTTGTCAGAAATGTTTACTATAATAAATACTAAGTAATAAATTAATTACTTACAGTCACTGTGAAGTAAATCGATCGGGTAATCGTCATTCGAAAATACTTTTTTTTAGGTATTTGTAGTTGCCGAATAATAATTATTAATACATCCGAAACCGTTTAAGACTTAAGTATATTGCATGCGGCATCGGGTATAATCGACAATTATTTTGTAATATAAAAATTATAAACTATAAACTAAACAGTAAACTGTTAAGTGTTAACTGATAACCGGAATACCAACAGCCAATTAGAAGTTTTTTAGTGATAAGCTGGATGATAGGTCAGACGTGACCGCAACCACGTTTATAGAAATTACTACCCAAGTGTAACCCCGCATACCACGTCCACTGCACACGATTAATTTCTAACCTCATAAGCGTACCAAAACAAATTTCAGTTCTTCTTATTTTTGGTGAAAATTGTATGGTGTACTCGGATTTTCATCCAAGGTAATCCTTTGATTTAATTACTATTATTTATTAATGCTTAGGCTTATTTTAATTTTAAGTTAACGACATTTATTTTCTAATCGAATATAGTTATAACTCGATTTATGGGATTTCGACTTAGCGGTAAAGTTGACCAGATTACCATAGGGGTTTCCATTGCTTAGAATCATCTCTCTAAAAGACCTTATTTGCTTTTATTTCTTAAGATTCATTACCTAGTTTGTTTTTTGCTAAACGTTAATAGGGTCTTTATTAATTTTAACGTCTTAAAGGTAAATTATCTAGACTGCTCAAAACATTGTCACTGTTTGAAATTTCGAAACCAAACTACTAACTAATGTTTACTGTTGATTTTTGTTTACTCAAATTGTTTATTTATATTCTACAGTTAAGACTAAACACTTCATACAACATCTAATAAAATAGTTAGCTGTCATTCATTGAAAAAATCGTGTTATTTTGAATGTATTTGATATATTTTACAGATGAGGACCATCAACGCTAACCAATCAGTTAAAATTCCTGACGGAATTGACGTAACCGTTAATAGAAGAATTATTACAGTTAAGGGACCTCGCGGATCATTAGAAAGGAATTTTAAGCATCTAGCAGTAGATATCTACCTTAAAAATCCTAAGCTGTTGACTGTAGAAAAATGGTTTGGCACCAAAAAAGAATTGGCTGCTGTGAGAACTATTTGTACGCACGTCGAAAATATGATCAAGGGTGTTACTAAAGTAAGTAAAAAAGATAAATTATAAAAAAAAAAAACATTCTAATATTTTATAAACATGTTTGTTTAATTACAGGGTTTCTTGTATAAAATGAGAGCTGTATATGCCCATTTCCCCATTAACTGTGTTACGTCTGAAAACAACACCCTCATTGAAATCAGGAACTTCTTGGGTGAAAAATACATTCGACGTGTGAGGATGTCGCCAGGTGTTACAGTCGCCAACTCTAAACAAAAGGATGAATTAATTGTTGAAGGAAATGACATCGAAAAAGTATCCAGATCAGGTAAACAAATTGAATGATTAGGTTTTATTTTTGTCTTATGGTTATTATTGACCGTGAGTAGGTTTAAGACCTAATTTAGTCGCCTAAGAGGAGCATGGTAGTCTCTTTCTCTAGACAGTTACCTACCCATAAATAAAGACCACACATTGCCGAGTTTCGAATCGCTCGTTCTCCATTTTATTGTCTTATGGGTGTTCTCAGATACCAGACTGATTATGTTTTGTTTAACCTATAACATTTAAGTAGGAACAAATCTACTTTACCAGACACTTTTTTTTGTTTAAGTTGCATATTTCTCATGCTGATTACAAATCTGTAAAAATTTAGGCCCTTCTCATTAGGTTTGAAAGTTACATCCATTTAAAGATTGCGCCTATTGCAACGTGCCATGACATTACCTGCGTCGAAATATACTGCATCCTGTTATCGTTATTAATTCATATAAGATATCACAATACTATTTTTCTTTACCTATTAATGTCACAAGCTATGAATTTTAATTTTCAAAGTTATTGGACAATTTGAAGTTGATCATTTAAAAAAACTAAATATTGTTATCAGTATCAACTTATCAAGTAGGTACCGAAAAAACGACTATGAAAGCTAGGGGAATGCGAGACTGGCATCACAAATGTGTAATCAATAATTAGAGTGTTCTAAGACTGTTATAAACCATATTTCAACACCTCTTACTAAAACTACCATGTTTCATTTTCTTACGCTTGTGTTATGAATGAAAAAATGACGTATTGGTGTGTGCTGCAAAATAGCATTTTGTAGTTTACCCACAAAAGCCTATTTTGAAGCAATTTTTTGTGGCAAACTTATGTATTGCCGAAACAAGCCAAATGTGTTTTGTTGAAAATAGTGATAGTCAATAGTTTTTTGGCAATTTCTGAAACAATATATTGTTTTTAAGTAATTTTTTGAATATGCTATTATTCTTGGCAACTGAAACATATGCAATAGTTGCGCAAAGCACCTTGATTTATTCTAGTCCTTCATCATTTCTACCTAAAAGACTTTATGAAATAGAAAAAGTATTTTGACTTATTCATAGTAAATTTGATGACGAACAAGAAAAAACCAGGTCCTAACTATTTACATTTTTGGATTTCAAATCATTCTTCAAAATAAATGTTCAAAATAGATTGGCCTGAGTTAATTTTATGATGTCCTTTGGTATAATTTCAAACCGTTAATTTTTTTATGTTCATTAAATTAAATAAAGTTGATTTTTTTTTTGTGAATTTGTTTATTTATTAATGTGAATTTTTTTTTTCAGCTGCACTGATCCAACAATCAACAACCGTCAAAAACAAGGATATCCGTAAGTTCTTGGATGGATTATATGTGTCAGAAAAGACATCAGTTGTACAAGAAGAATAAAAACTTCATGTATTACGTTTTAAATATGTTTTTTTTTTTATTAATTTCTATTTCCTAGTTCCTAGAAAATAAAAAAATGAAAAATATGATCTTATATGTTAGACAAAATACAATAATTATCTTGACTACATCCGTTGATTGTCGACAAACGCCGTCGTGGTTGCTGCTGTGGATTGTTGTTGTGTGTTTGAGTTGAGCTCTTATCTCATTTTTATGAACAATATGAGTTCTCATCAATAGTTAGGTTAAAGACTTTCCCTTATAAGAGTGGTTTAATTGTAAAATTAATAACCACTGAACACTGTGTGGTATGATAATTCAATGGCAGTGTTGCGGCAGCGCCTATGTGAGAGTTAACGGTGCATGTTGACTAGAGGCGAGGATGTGCAGCAATGACAAGTTTTCGTCGGCTAACACTTGAATTGGGTCTAGTTAGGTAGTATGGGAGTTTGGGTAGTAAGGTATTAAAAAATAAAATTTTTTGAAAATTTAATTCCAGTAATATTACACTTACTATTTGGTATCTACTTTGACTCTCTACTTCCCTTTGAGCTATCGAAGTATCCGAGATAAAGATCTATGGACCTAATATCCCAGATCTGCTATTGTTTTAAATAAATAAGTCAAGAACAAAATGCCAATTCAGTATTTATTACAGTGTGATAGTTATTCCTAAAATAAAAAAACTGTAAGTATAAAAAATAAATAATTATATTAATATGAATACATAAAATGAAAACGCTAATAAATAAACTGGGTTTTTTTTTATAAGAAAATAAATTCATATTTAGCGTTGTTAATATTAAAAAAAAAACCTAATAAACGTCCATAAAATAAAATAAATTTAATTGTACACTCCATCAATGGGGTTATCTTGAGTGTTTTTTTTTGTATAATTATCAACAATTTATTCTGTTTAAAATTATCAAAGAAATTTAAAAATTAAATATTTTGTGCTACATAGAATTCTGTATGTCTAAACTATAGATTAAGAGGTCCATTACTACCATATTAATATAGTTTATGGTTTGTATTCATTAACTGTTTTATTAGTAATTATAACATGAAATATAATGTTGTACCTATAAAAAACTAAAAAAAGTATATTACATATACTACTAAGTAGAAGGCTACAAAATGAACATGTAGTTTCTTATTTTTATAATAAGATAATTTTTACAATATATCCCTAAAGATTTGCAAATTCCTGTAAATTTAAAGATGTTTCATGATATTTTAAATATATTAGGAGTACAATGTTTCATTATCAATGATAGGTTAATATTTGAAATTAAATTACCCTTATGCAATAAGTATAGAAAATTACACCATGTACCATATTTTACCAATATATATTCCTTTCAATAATAACAACCAATTTGTGCATCTAATCCAGTACAATAAATATTTAATTGCCGAATTAAAAGTAGATACGTATGTAGAAATTAATGATATAAAAAGCGTTTGTAAATTAATAGACAATTTTTTTATTTGCGAAACAGACAACATAGACAAGAATAAACCGAACTGTGAAATTTAACTACTAAATAATAATTATAAAACACCGACCACTTGTAATATGTATATAACAGAATTTACAAAATTTTGTTTGTAGTCAGCCTACACTATTGACAATAAATTGCAAAAAATATAGTTTTAATAAAAAAATAATCATAGAAAATTCTGGCAAGTTGTGGTTGGATAAAAACTGCATGGCCTCTACACCCAGTAGTAGTTTCAAACCAGTAAGTTCGGATACCTCTGATTACAAATCTCTACCTATAATGATTTCGCTGATAGAGGATAAATTTTGTTCAGAAATAAAAAATAAAACGATTCCTAAGCCCATTCATTTACAAGATCTAAAAAATGTAAAAATAAATCAACAGTGTTTACATAAATTAAATTTAGAGTTAGACGAGGAAGAAAAATTAGCTTCAAAATTGTATGATAATATATATAAATAGGTATTTAATTGATAATGCCTTAGATTTTTCTTTTGCGACTATTTTTTTTTATAGTTATAATCCTTGTTTTAATATGTATTATAGTATACTATAAATACCTATTGTGTAAATAAAAAGCCAATTTCAAATGTTCAGGTTATATAATTAGGTAGACGTGATCTTTTGGATACCATTTAGATACCCTTTAAATTATGCACCTGACAATTTTATGCGCGAAAAATAAGTCATAATGTACACCGTAAAATTAATTGTATTTTATTATATATTTATAAATCAATACATATTATTATTATATACCTATAAATGTAAAAAAAGTTTTAATTATTTTTTGTGTCAATTATAATTGAAACTATTTTATATGTTACTTAAACAATAACCTACATGTATAAATGTACTTAAATTATACTTTTTATATTATAGCTGTAAATTAAATGTTTTTTATAGGTATTTTAATTACCACACTAGATTTGAGTCGATTTCACTATTTTTAGTTAAATTACAGCAAGTCTGTGTAAAAAAACAAAATAATCAGTAACTTGTTTAAATATTGGTACAATTATATTTTATACTAAATATAATTTAAAGTTAACAAATACAATTTAAACGGATTCGTTTTTTAATATGTAGTGATTTTATGATGTGAAATTAAGTAATAATTAAGTTATTTTTGAAACTGGTCGACGCGTACTCGCATAGAATAGGTAACAAGTACGAGGTACCAATACGTTTATCCAAAAAAATACATTATTACAACAAAAGTAATAAAGCTATCAAAATGATTCAAACTATGTTGGATATTGTATTTTCTATTTTGTTGGTTGTTTCATAAATTTTAATAAACAGTAGCTATTTAAAAGGCAGTGCCGCCAACGCCTACCCGGTCATTTTTTTTTGTGTTTTAACATTTTTGGGGGAAAAGGAGTAGATTTTTCCAAATCTTCTTACCCCCCTCTATATACCAACTATACCTAATTACTGATCGATTGATTTTATAGCGCAGCATACCTACCGTTATTTTGTCAATAAGAGTATGCTGAGCTATCTCTCCAAAAATAAAAAAAATCAAATAGCGGTTGCCATTTGGGATACTGCAGTGGCCTATTTATAATATGTATTTAATCTCTATGATATAAACTAATAAAAAAAAAACCACAGACAATGTTTAACAGGTCTTAACAATTAATATAATAATAATTATTACATGTATATTATAATATTGTAATTTTTCAGTGTTAGACGCGATATCTCTGTGTTTCGAGAACACCACAATAGTACAATAAGTTTAACACATGACTAGAGTCATAAACTATAATATCTCAATGTTTACTGGGTAATTAATAATTAATATTTTATTTAACTTGAAACAAATTATCAATAAAAACTCGAGTCAAGCCAACTGCGCGGCTCGTTAAAAAAAAAAAAAATATACAAAACACATACAAAAATAGTCTTAACGCACTAATAATTATACACTAATAATTATATATATATATATATATATCAAACGACAAAATTAACCGTATAAAATATAATACTCGAGTTAAAATTAAATTTAACATATTGTAAAGGCATCGACAAAACATTGTGTATTCGGTTGGTCACACTGGTGTGTTGGTACAATTGGGATTGGGCAACGGCTGTTCCTGCATGACAAACGTGCCGTTAACGTGAGCTTCTTCGATGTCTTTTTCTTCCGGATAATCGTTCTGGTAAAAAAAAAAATAACGACCATTGGAAATTGTTCAAGACAAGCAGACTTTTTATTTTATTTACAAAACAATAGTTACCTCGAGTTCGTTTTTGGACAAATGTTGGACGATGGCCACGGTGTAACAGTCTCCTATTAGATTGTTAGTGGTCCTGAACCTGTCACTGTTTTACAAAAGGCGGGGAAGAATTAAAATAAAAATAATAATAATAAAAACCCTAGTTAAATGTATAATTACACGAGCCAGTCGACGGCGAACAGCAATGAAACGTCTTCGGTGGGCACGTTGATGACACTGCACAGCATTACAACGAGAACAATGGCCGCAGACGGGATGGCAGCTGAAGACATACTGGCAGCGGTACAAGCCAACCTGTGGAAAGGATATTCAAAGGTCAGTACTCTACAACTTACATACTTGTCGGTATGTGATGATAAACGTTTTAACATGAACCTAACACCGTGTTGGGGCGTAGAGCATATTGTGGGGGAGGGTCGGGGGTCAACAGAAATTTGAGTGCTAAAATTTTGACATAAACAAAGCATTCCACTTGACATTAGTTCCAGTAGGTATGCCAAGTAGGTATTGGTGTATGTATGTGCTAAGGTAAACGTGACGGTATGTTTGAAGTTTTCTTTAATTAGTGTGTCGGTAAATATACCGGGAATGCAGGTGGGGTCGAGTGTCATAATGTGTACACACCACGTTGTTTGGCTTAAGTGCTCTATAGGTCTCTTACCCAATAGTGAATATTTCACCAACGCCCAATTGTAAATTGTTTATTTGCGCCAAGAACAGTAGCGCCACGCTCAAGTAAAGCGCTGAACCGTCCATGTTGATGGTGCCAATCGGTAGAACGAACTTGGTGATTTTTGGATTCATTTTCAACCTTTCGTCCAACACTTTGAACGTTATGGGTAGTGATGCCGACCTAAAATTCGTTATTAAAAAAAAAAAAAACATATAAAGTATACAGTTTGGTAAAGCCATTTGTGTGTAAATCAACACGAAGCGATCCTATCCCAATGATATGTTAGAAATTCCAAGTTGGCAAATGAAATTGTTGTATTTGTTATAATATTATAATTTGCATTTTTTTTTTTTGAAAGATTATTATACCTATATTGCCTATACAGTTTCAATCTATTTGCATTTCACTCCAAATTTCCCATTTTGCAACAGGCAACTCCCAAACTCTATACTATATACTTATTTCCAGTTCTAAAAAACATATTCACTTCACATCTGGATAATATGCTACCGGAATGTCACTTATCATTATAAAAAGTGAGTAATGTACTTTAGAGGTAACTGAACTTTCATTTTACCATTTACATACATTCATTGTTCTTATTTTTTTTTAGATATTTTCTATTATTTTTACAAACACACTTGGGGAAATCATTTCTTCCCAACAGTCTCAATACCGTTTCTTTTGGGCATTTTAAGTATTTTTTTAAGTCCTTTTTTTCACATCTATAATCTTTTAAAAGTGTACTGTATAAGAAAAAGAAATATTCGAAGAAAATAAATTTATTGTAATTTTAGAACCCTATTTATGATACCTTTTCTATATTTTTGATTAATTAAAAAAAAAACATTCACAGGCTGTTACAATATTATGAACGATTCCCTCGTTCGTTTGAAAATGATTCATTAGTTTAAAGTTTTTTTATTTTTTTAGAAAAATTGGATTTGAACCGTTCAAGTTTTTACAGCACGTGTAAAATTAAAATCGGATCTATATCTGATTATTTTATTTGTAATCTATTAACAATCCTGGATTACTTTGATTAATTAAAAAAATAATACAGTAATCCTGCCAGAGTTGGACAAAACCCGGGCTTTTTTGCAAAAAAACCCAACCCACTTGGGTATTAAGTGATATGAGATAAATGATAAGGGATGCGTGATAAGAGACCACATATCCATGATAAAATGTTTTTCCAGAGATTATTTCTTATAAATATAATATATTTTACTACAATTGAAGAAAGGGTCAGCGAATAAAGTGGTATAGTGTAATATAAACACTATGTCGATCGGAAAAGGTTTTGATTCACCAAATATCGAAAAAGTTCCATTACTTTTTAATATTAAGTTACAAAATTTCCGAAAAAACCGAACCCAAAATACCCGGGGAAATCCGATGGGTTTTGTAAACCTGGAAAAACAGACCAAGGGTTTTCAGGCTTGTCTGAACAAAAAACACATCATTGGGACAGAGTTGTGATGTGTTAAAAAGGTGCACAAATGGGTGGGGCCCACTCACTTGGAAGCCGTGGCAAAAGCGGTGGCCAGTGCCGGGCCCAGAGACACGTAGTACGGCCACGGCGACTTCTTGATTATGAAGAAGTAAATGAGCTGCAAGACGACCAGCTGGTAGAAAAGGAATCCGCCCACGGTGGTCATGATGAACAGGCTGAGCTGGATGAGCGTGCCGTAGAGGTCGGCCAGTGTTATGATCTTGCCGGCGATGACGCTGGCCACTCCGACGGGCGTGAACCTACAGAGACGTTCTGTAATAGAGGTGACGGATTTACATAAAAAAAAATTCAACAGAAACCATGGCAACCCCCTCGGACTCGAAGTACGAACAGACTGGCTGTTTTTTTTTTTTAAGAAACGGAGACTTGTACGTCTCCCTGACCTATATTTTTCTATAGGTGGACTTGCTGCAGTCGTCTGCGGACAGCCAGTCGGATGACTGACTCGTGATCAAGACACTCTTTGAGAGTCATAATAAGCGTTAGTTGTAGAAGACTCATATATTCTCCAGAACGTCCGACGACTACGCGGGCGGCAACGTATAGATAACTTAGCGCCTTACACCAGCCGGTTCCTGTGTACTTTGGGGATATTATGTAATTAGTGTAATGGGGGGGGGGTGTGGTAAGTGGAGAATAAGAGGGGACATATATATATATATCAATTATGTACGTAGAAAATACTTATATTGTTGCGCGGGCTTAAATTATATTTGATTAAGTGTTGTACCATATTACTCCGGTAAGTATTTTTTGCATAACTTCGTAGGTAACGGTAAAGAAGTTGAGTACCGGTCGTTTGCGTTCGCCCAGGGTGCCTAAAATCGTGCCGAAAACCAGGCAAAAGAAAATTATGCCCAGCGTGTTCGTGCCGTCTCTGGAAAAAACGATTAGAGCGCATTATGGAATAAGATTATTATGTGACATACACGTGTGTCTTGTGAATGGGGGAAAAAAAAGGTAATTACTTGTACTTGACGACCTTTTTCAATGTGTTCATACCGTTTTGGCCCATAATCGTTTCGTATTCGGTCAGGGTCTATAATGTAAACACAACATATTATACAGCTAAATTCATCACTTCTACATTCATCGGGTAGACTGTTGATAAGACAATTGAACAGAGAACGAGTGTAGCGGAGACGATCATGCCAAGAAGGATGAGTGAAGTGCCTGGGGAGGATAGATTAAGAAATCAATACATAAGGAAGAGTCTGGGAGTTGCATCAATCAATTGTGAGGAAAACGAGTGACGAAAGGTTGAGATGGTTCGTGGTCATGTTGGCAGTGAAAGTTGTTATCAATATGAACGTAGAGGCCATAGAGAGTGATAAGAGGATAGCCACCCCAGGCCGACCCCATGTAGCTGGGCGTGTAAGACGAAGATGGAGAAGAAGTTAGGCTGTGCTAGACATGATTTGGTAGAAATGCTAATCACTCGGTCGTTTGAAACGAATCAAAACTAGTATCGAAAATGTTAAACTGTGATTTGTGAAAAGAATTCGTCCACTGTAATTGCAACTCACGATTGTTGCACTGTTGGTAAAGTTACAACTATACTTAGTCAAATAACGTTTTGAATAGGTGAAAATCTTTAAACAATGCAAAATATGTATCCGGTATCGGTGTGTATTATTTTTAAATCAACGCGTTGAAAACATAGTCTGACGATTTGAATGATACACAAAATGCTTTGGGAAAACTTTCACCGCAACTGGCTGATCATTTTCATTGGAAACAATACAACCGACAGCGTCGACTTAGATAAATATTTGGTTTTTGGCTGTAACGCTACCATGAATAGCTGTCATATCTTACCTGTTGAAATGCAGCTTGAAACAAATTATCCGGTAGCAAATTTCTGAAATTAAATTTGAAAATATTATACAACAGTAGACAATTCCTACAGACGTTGTAATACTTTATGCGCTGTGTTATTATTTAGGTATTTAAACTATTTACACAGAAAGTACTAGGATGTACTAGGATTTTTAGTTTAGAATTTGATTACATGCAATTTAATATGTACTTTGGCTCTAAAAGAGTCAATCAATGCATCTTGTCAATGATGTATTGGACACGAGTCATAGATGTGTATAAATAATACAGAATTTTGAATTCAACCGGAATTGAATATGTTAATTGATAGATACAGTTTGATTGTATGACTTTTGTATGTGTGTTTACCTTCCCATGTCGAGGAATCCGTCCATGATTTGCATTTTTTTCGGTCCGGAAAATGACGTGGCATTTGTTCCTCTTAGATTTGGATTTCCCGGATGTACGAGCAAGCCCAATGTCAAGCCCAGGCAAACGTTGAACACCGAAGTAAGTACAAAGTACACTATGGTCCTAACTGCTACTTTACCGTTTTTACTTATATCCAAGTTTGCGGCACCTGCCAACAACGATTATAGTGTTAGGGTATTACTCTGTTATTTTCACTGGAGATCATTGCTAATTTGGTGTGTAAACTACATCGGAACCGCCCGTGGTCGTTCAACCACAAATAATATATTCACCGAAAGGGTTCAAACGCTATAGACCAAAATAATTACATATTATACAAAAGTACATAATAAAATACGTCAAAATTCGAAAAGGTAATGTGAGTAACCTATACATGTATATGTTAGCTTAAGGAGGCTTACTCAGGAGGTTCATTTTTGTTTTCTGTTGAAGTTCTACACAAAAGAAACCCGCTATTCTGTAAATTTATCTTACCATTTTCCGCCATCTTTGTGGGAATTAAAACCTTATCACATGATTATAACTGCTGTCATCACTGTTTATAACAATTACAAGTCAAATTGATACCACAGAATCACAGTTAAAATGGCCGACGTCGACTTCAATTCTTATCAATAGTTAGCAAAACTTATTTTGAAGTCATTTGATTCTTTATTTATTTTTATCCGATTGTCACAACCTCCATTATGCACGTTTGTGTCGAAAATAAAAGAGCCCTTTTCGACATTACAAAAATCAAGTTGGAAAATCTGGTTTTAGCTTGTTGAAAAATGGTAAATTTAAATTGCGGTTTGTCTATGAATTAAAAAAACTCGAGTCATCATTTGATGAATATATTTTTTCAATTTGCTCAACTTAAAATAATTAATAGATAAAAAAAAAAAAAAAACGTCGACGAGGCATAGCAAAATTGTATTAATCTTTCTATCAACATGGTTTTTTTTTATAATGTTTTTGCACGAAAAAACCGCATGTCTGGCGTCATCTTAATAATATTATATATTATGTATACATGTAGTTAAAGTTCCAAACTCCAACGATCGAATAACCTGCGTCCATAGACTGACGGACTTTGATCGACGGACGATAATTATTATGCTAATACAGTCACACGTTTAAAAATAACCGATTGGCAGTAGTTTTATACACGGTGTGTTCGAGTAGATGTAATAATATTAAAGCTGTGATGTGTTTATGACTGCATATTTTTATTGAAGATTTATAACCAAATTCGATAGACAAAGACTAGATTTCAAATCAGCCAACTCGTGTCGCATATTATATTTGTATATTTGACAATTTTGAGCATATATTTGCCTAAAATGCTTATTTCTAGATTTTAGCAGCATGTTTGTAGGTGTAATACACTTAAAAAAGGTTCCAATTTATTATATTTTTCTTTTATCGCGTTTACTTGTTATGAGCTAAAGAAAACCGTACACAATATGAGAAAAAAAATACTGGTTATAAAATATTGTCTAAAATAATCGTCATTGTTCTTTTAGATTTGAAAAACCCGCCAAAACAGTTATAATTCAATGTTAACCTTATACATAATAATATATACATAATCCTCATACCTTTTTTTTAATAATAATAAACATACTGTAAAATTGTATTCAAATTATTGTAAAGTCATATTTTTGAAAAACTTGGCTAAAATGTTTAGCCGATTTTCATAAATGCGTATAATTTTAACATTTTTAAATGTATATTTTAATACATATTTTATGATTTCATTAACACCCGAGCTCTAGTAATAAAACTTAGCATATAATAATTATTATACAACAACAACAATAATGGGCAAGCTTTGGAGCAATTAGAACCATTTATTAGAACAAGGACCCAATTTCGAATTGTTGGGTTTTAAAAAAATTTCTTATGCTAAATTAAAAGTTAAAAATTAATATTTTATGAATAAAATCAACCCGTAAAATGGTAATCATTTAGGCAAAATTACAAAAGTTTTCGTTAAAAAAAAATAGTTTTTTGTCTCCTAAAAAGAAACCAACATTTTTGAAATTGGGCTTATGTTCTAAAATAAGCGTCTCAATTGTCATCAGAACGGTGTAAAATTTTAGATTTATTATTTTTTTTTTATCGATTACCACCAATCAATTGGAGCTTGCAGAGTTTTGCAAATAGCTAGCACCTCCTTTCGAATTGCTGCAACGTTGACTAGAGAAGTACTGAATTTATTATTCCCATTGTGTCGAAACCGAGCCAAAGGGATTAATTTCCAAAACGAGCAAACTGTGCGTATTGACTAGAATAAATAATTAAATCGGTCTCTGCAACTGTGTGGGAAATATGGCTTCTGGCGAATTTGTTTCATTTTCCGGCACGTCCCAATATTGTGTTCAGACTATACAAAATTGTCTCATTTTCTAATCAAACACTGCACGAGAGGGTTTTAGCACAAGGCTAAATGAAACCGACGGTCGTACATACAAATATGTATTATGTCAGTTTAATCGATGCTTAACATATACATATATATATATATATATAATTTTTTCATTCGAAAATTGACAATGCAAGTTGTGTAAAATTAAAGAATATTAGGTTTTTATTTTCGAATAGCCAGCAAGCGTTGGCCTTACTACTGCCTTAAATAAAGTATAGGCATTCCGTCAATTAAGGAGATAATTATTAGATAGTTACAGTATTATAATTTTCAACGTGCAAACACTGTGACACGTTAAAGTGATTGAATTTTATACGTTCAATCAAGTGTAATATAAGTACACACAGTACCCGAATTCATACCAAAATGTTTCGGAATTTAGAAGATTGAAAAAATAATATAACTGCAATAAAGAATGTGTACAAATGCAAATGGAATACCTTAAAAAATGCCACTTGTCAAAAAACGTCGACTGATTGTAATAAAAAAAATAGCGTCGAAGCAAACATATTATACCAAAAGAAATATTTTAAATATTGCTAAATAAAAGTCTTATATAATAAAACATATTATAAATTGAAAATTAAAAATAATAAAAAAAATGTATGTCGGTTAAATATTTAATTTTTTTAATTTAATTATTTTACACAAAAAATAGTAATAACAAAAATTGAAATCTTCGAACTCTATCAAGTTTATTGTTTTTTTTTTTAAAGTCTGATAACGGTTAGTTTTATATATTGTCATTACTTTGGTAAGTCAATCAAACGGTAAATTAACAAGTCAAGTGTGTTAGCCAAATGGGCGCCGATATTGTTGTTAAAAGTCAATATATTTGTATGTTATTGCGAAAAATTATCAAAGATTTCTAGGTAGTAATCTATATAGTAATGATATAAAATGTACTTCTGTATTTATATGACGTAAAATAATTACAAGCCGGTCGAATAATTATTATTTAATCGATTGAAAACATTGAAATGTACTTGTGCGGGAGTCAATGTACGTTAAAGGCAATTCAAAGTGCATTCAATGACACAGCTATTAGGTAGGTTATTTCTCAATACAACATATGTATACATACAACTGTATGTAGTAGATTATTATTATTACTAGCTGATGTAAACTATATAATAATTATGGTACACGTACCTATGATTAAACACGATATTATGAACGGCAACACCATCAGCTTCAGAGTCCTCAAGAATAGGTCACCGGGGTATGAGATCAACGTGATAGTGTCGCTGCTAAGTTTTAACGGCCTTAATACAAGTCCTGAAAAAACAACAAAAAAAAACAATATTCAAATAAACACAATTTTTTCCGTGAAAAATATAGTAGGAAAAAAACAGTACAACATTAAAAAGTATTAATTTTCAATAATTGTCGTTCCTAAAAATTTTGAAATATTATGCACTAAATTTGACACTTATGTATAGTACACGTTACTTCATTAAATAGATATATTATTATAATAATCGTTAACCGTAATTTTGCTTATCGACTTGGCAATTAACTATTTAGTGACGCAATCGCAGTGTACACGAATAATTATTATTAATGCCCTTTTTTTTAAACTATATGAAAAATGACTCAAAGCCTTTCTATTAAATGACCGTCGTTGGCTCAACCATGTTTGAGTTTAAGACAATTGCAAAACAAGTATTTAAGAAGGTTAGTTGAAAAACTGAAATAGTAAAAATATAACTATTCTTACATGTATTATACATGTTTTGTTGTATGTATATATATTTGTTTATGCTATATTTCATTCTTGTTCTTAAAATGCGTTAAAAAATACTTTCCAAGTCGTGCAGATTTTTTTGATTTTTAATTTGTTAGAGAATTATTTTAAATATATATATATGTATATTATTTTATTAATAAGCAAGTAATTAGAAAGTATGAAAATTAAAAGGGGAAAATGTTCTTTTATGATATACAACTTTAAAGCTCTGAATGAACTGTATCAGATAAAGGCCTGACACTCATCGCTGCACTTAAACATGCCAAGGTCATCCTAAATAACAAAATCCCTTTATCGGTTTCAATGGCTAAAAAAAAATTGTAAAAGCTACAATTTAAATCAAACAATTTATTTGTAATTTTTTTTAATTGATATTTTCTATCTTCATGACAAGGTCTTACTAATGCGTTCAAAATCAACTTTTTTATTTCTTAAAGAATAAGAGAAAATTTTAAAGATGCGTTTATAAGATGCAACACACACACAGACTTTTTTCAAATTCAAATATTTATACCGCACTGGTATGAAATCCGATCTACCTGTATATTATCTTATATCAAAGCTAATACAATTATCTATCTTCCCACTATTAGCGTGTAGTATTTTGTCTTTTTTCCTATTCACGACAAGCTCTTAAAGTTATCGACATCGATTTTTTTTTTCATTTCAATTACCACATTTGGTTTTTTTTTTGAAAAAGCGTTTTTCTTATAAAATTTGTTTTACTTGATATTGTGGTAGAATATTGTGACAGTATGCATACCGAAACATACTTTAATAAGAAAACATGATTTTATTTTACACTAGAAAAAAAGCCTAATAAAATGTTACGTTTAAACCAAAGTACAACCGTGATTAAAAAAGTCTTACAAAGTAAAACTACTTTAAAATATGTTGTAATATTCTCAAAATTAATATTGTTTTCTATATGACACTTTTATTTTTGTTTTTTTTAAGCATATTAATTTGATATTGAATAAAAATGTTATACACAGAACAAGTGTTTTTTTTAATTTTTATTAAATAAATATAAACTTTCAATTTCAAGAGTTTTGATTAGAACAAAAGGTCAGTTTTACAACTTTTAAAAAATTCCTTAGGCTAAATTAAAATGAAAAATTAATTTTTTTTTAAATTTAAATCAATCCAAAAAAAATGTTCATAGAATAATAGTTTTTTGTGTTAACCAAAATTTAATATTGGGCCCTTGATCGAAAAGCGTCTCAATTATAAAACACTAAAATCGCTTTCCAAAGAAAACTCCCAATGTAAATCTGCGGAGATAGATTAGGTATTTATGATTCGAAGGCTCATGATCACATTCAGAGTTTATAACTTTCAACTATAAATCGCTATTTTTATTTTCAAATGTTTATCAAAACTCAACCGACATAAATATAATGTTTACACACACACATACACATGAAAACATATTATGAGAATACCAAAACGGTACTTAATGTAGAGAAAGAGAGAAGAAGCGTGTAAACAACATACACATATAGCAAATAAACACTTCTCACAGTTGAGAGTTGGACATGTTTTACACTCCTGTCCTGTAAGTATTGAACCTCGCTCAAGATGGGTATGTACCTATATTATACATATATAGGTGTGTTTTGTATTATAATTACACATGCGCGTGTATCTTATCTTGTACACATTTTATGGGTGGTGTTTCTGTGGATTTACATTACACGGTTTATGACTTACATGTCTACCTATACTTATGTTTAAGACAGCAAAAATAAATAACTTAAAAAGTTGGCACCGACGCGCATACTGCGTTGATTAAACGTGTATTATTATTATTATTGAGAGAGAGAAAAAACATAATCGATTGATCCGAATGCACAAACCGATTACTTTGTTTTTGCAAAAAAATGCAAATTATGACCTTGTGATTTTCTTAAGGTCGTCTTGTTCTCCTCTTGTTGAAAACGAGCGCGCGCGCGCAAAATGATCTCATCCGAATAATAATAATAATAATCATCATCGTTGGCGCCCACACTGTTTGGATCGGTTTCTTTGTATTTGTTGTATTCTAAACGGCGATTGTAAGCTTTTTAATCTCATATAGATAGTGAAACAAAAAAAAAAGAAATCATAATTTGATGCAATTTGGTGTACCCGGTCGGCCTATCATACGATTTCAAACTAGTGGCGACCAGATTAAAAAACGTATATATTTTTAATATTAATCATCAACAGGCTTACTGACCGACACGCGATTTGGGTGTTGAGTCATTAAAATTGTTGTTGGTCGTGGTTAATCTTTCCAAAGTCTAACGAATGATAGAACAAATTAGTTTGATTTATGTCTATGTAGTATGTACAATTAAACTGCCTAAAATCGCAACTCTCATATCGACCAGCCTTATCGTTTTTAATATGTAAATGTTTAATAATTTCCATACAGCTAGTAAGATTAGGAGAATAATGTAAGCGTGTACTATGTTAAAATGTTGTTTGGAAAATACCACTTGTTGTAACCGCTCACAGTAAGTAAAACGATTTAAAAATTTATAACCAAATTGTTTCACTCAAAAACACTGCTGACCATTCCAAACGGGTGCCTTAACCGCATCGTCTACTCAATATGCAAATTTCACTTGACTGAAACACTTATACAGGTGGCTCTACCGTGGGCCTCCTCCTTATCACATTGCCTTATCACTGTTAATCTTTTCTCGAAATTACTTATTGTTGTAATAATTATAGTATAGCGTGTAAATAGTCTTAATAAAACATTGACCCATTGTTACCATTGTCCGGTTAATGGCACCCATTAAGTTAAGTAAGCATACCAAAATAAGTGTATTTTGATTGCACAACGGACACCTATTCTTCTACTCGACCGTCGAGTGTTGTAGGTAATTATTATTATTATCAAGTATATATTTTATATATTTTATATTCGATATTGGACTCACCCAAGGCAATGCCGAACGCGACCGACGTGAGGATGAACACCAGAAACCTGTTGGTCTTTAGACATTCCAAGATCTTGTTGGCTTTTGACGTGTTCGTGCCTTTGGACACGATCGTGAACGTTGATTCCGCTCGCGTCCCTTCCATTTCCTCTGATAAAACCAAAAAAAAAAGCACACAGTAAGCACACCTAGTAAACGATGAAAACGACAAAGACAAACTAAATAAAAAAAAAATAAGGTTTTTTTTGTATGTGGGGAAACAAAAAAAAAAAAGGGCACACGCACTAGAGTTTTTGGACTAGACCATCAACAGACCGGGTTTTGTTTGTTTGCAGAATTAGCACCGACCGGTGGCATCGGTCATCGGACACGGACAAAACACTGAGGTCTGAGGACAATGTGCAGTTACAGCCGGCCAAACATGATGAAACAACCGCTGGAGTGTACGCATACTATACACCTATTATATGTGGATTAATAGCAGCCGTAGCTGCCATAGTGGTGGTAACGTCAGAAACTGGTTTTCCACTGCAAGAGAATGTCGGTCGACACACAGAGTCACATGCGTTTGTTGTACACAGCACATGATGATAATAATATTATGGATAGATCCCACATTGATATTTGTATCCGATGTCATCCTCCAGCTTTACCAGAGAGAGGGGGCTCACCGTGACCTTAGTCACAACACAATGGGCAAACACCTAATTGTATCCATCGTCATCTTTTCTGAGGTGCAAATCGTCCGTCAGGGTTAAGCATATACATAATATATACTTTACACATTGTAGTGCATATTTAAAGTACAAACTTAATTGCCGGATTCATAGCAGAAACACAGCTTTTAAGAGCTTGCAAAGTCAACGATTTGCGAACAGGGAAAACGATTATTGTTAAAAAAATTATGAAAACGACCATCAGCTAACTGCTGTCAATGCATAGAGCTAGGTTTATTAGTCAAGTAAGTTTTTAGTGTCTTTAATCCCACTTGAGTTATTGAGGTTTTCTTCTTACAAGCAGTTTTTTTTTAAGTGGCTTACATATTATTATTGTTGTATTGTAGTAAATCCCACAGTACAAGCCCATGTAATTGCGTTGGCCCTACTTATTAAACAGGAAATATATAACAGTTTTTAAACATAAAATTGTGTAAAAAAAATTGACATCACATTGTATAAAATCACTATAGGAAAAAAATATCAATTAAACGCTATAAGATATTAGGTGGATCCACTGTGAAAAAAAAATCACCTTGTATAAAAATAAATCGCTTGTCTATAATACCTTAAGGAATACGTGCATCGTATAATAAATATAACCTATCAAATTAAATAGGTACAGTTCAAGTAGTCAATTTTTTAAAAATAAATAATTTATATTTTCTCTGAACCTACCTATAGAAGTAGTATGGATTTAAATCGATATTGCCAGTTGAAAAATTGCTACTTCTTTAATGGAAATCTTAGAAAACACACGTTTGAATTAAAATTAAGCATGAAAAATATTATTATTTGTGTCTTTATAAATTTATTGACGATAACCTGTAAATATTTTGATGGAAAATAATTTCCCTTGATAAACTAAATAACTATATTTTTGTACAAACTGTAGCTAATATTAATAAATAACGAGTAGGTCTATTCTGAAGTTAAATCAATCATTGGTGAATGGTTTGAAATCCACTGCCTGTTTACTATACTAAAACTTTACAATTAAAAAGTGAGTTCAGTACATAAATTTGCTCGAAAGTGGTCTATATCTATATTTTAAGAATTAATTTTCTACAAAAATACTCATAAAGTATTGAATTCATGTACTGTATGTTTTTTTTTTTTGCTGTGCTACTTATAATAAGTATACAAATTATGACTTCATACAAGATTTGTCGAACAATAATTGCCTATACAATTGTTCCTTAGTATATTTCGGTGTGAAGTCCTCTTAGACAACGTTTCTTAATTTTTTATCTGTGCCATAGACTCATTTTTTTTTTTATAATGATTCGCAATTTTCAAAAGACAACAAAAAAAAGTCCAGAGAAACATTTTTTTCTGTTGCAGACAAAATGTGCGATTTCAGTTATTACTAAACAACACATACCTAGTTAAGATTTTAAAGTAAGTAAACACATTAGTATATTAGCACATTAGTATTAGACTTTTTAGTATGTTTAGACTTATTTAGTAAACTCATTTAACAATTTTTTGTACATATTCATATATTTTTTTTTGTAAGACAAACGACGTTATGATGACAAAATGAAGTTATTTTTTTTTTTTTATACATTTTTTTTTCCTAAGGACTTTTATACAAATACATTATTACCAATAGTAAATTGTAATTTTTATATCTCCAACCTGATCCAAGCCTTATCATAATTATTAAGAATATTTGCTTAATATCATACTGCAGTCGATTATTATTTTATTATATTATAATATTTTTATTTTTAGTAGATTTTGCAACTAAATAAAAACCAAAATAAAACAAACATAACGTACATATTCTGAAATTTAAAATCGTGCAGAAATAATTGATTGTTAATTATTTATACCTTTGTTTGTCCATTTTTCTGGAACGTCCACTTGTGTTAGTTGATAAACTGGACGAGTTCTGAAACTTTTGATTTTTTGCACCAGAAAATTGGAACACGAACACATTGTGATAGAATAATAATATGCTAATGCAAAGCCAATGGCGTTTGCCCGTCGGTTTTATAAACTGGAACCCCGATAAGAGAGTATTTAATAAACGTTTTAAGACCGTTTAAACGTTATCGTTTGATACTCTTCGCGGATTCAGCAGTATTCTTGGAATGATAATAACTTAGAACAATGCTTAAACGGACACTAAGGCGACAGTAAAATATAATGATAATGTGTAACTTGAGAATATCTATTATTATTATTATTATAATAACGCTAAACATATTGTTATGATTGGTAAGTATATTGTATGTAGGTAGTTACTCAAGTATACAAAAAAAAAGGACTTTTTTAATATAATTAATTCTAAACTACTATTTGAGAAAAAAAGACCTGTACTGGAAATTAACCTGAAAGTCTAAAAAAAGTCTAAAAACTAGTTGCATTTAATCAATTTTTTAATCACGATTATGGAAAAATTACCCTTAAGACTTTAAGCAAAGTAAGCCGTCAAGTCTACAGGCAAAGTAAAGTCTACAGGAAAATTGATTCTAAGTGTAAAACAAAAAAAAAATTGTTTTAGATATTATTAACAAATCCGTGTATTAAATTTTATGATATTTCACAAGAAATTATAATAAAATACATATTTTAATAAATTTTACTTAATAAAATGATTACTGTTTTTATTTTATTTTATTAAAAAGCCATACTTTGTCTTAGTTTGAGTATAAAAAAATAAGCCATCTAGATTATATATCTTTAACAAAAACATAACGATAATATTATTCAGGTACCAGGTGACGACTGTTGATTGCTTCACATAAAGTATAAACCTGGAAATTTAATACATAAGTGATTTTTTGTTTTTACATGAAAAAAAAATTTCAATGTAGATTTTTGAGTAAATTATGGTAATTATGTTATAGCCCTACTCTTGGTCCACCTCCAGTCTAATTTTCAGACCCTAAGTACCAAAACTACTTGCTTGAAAAGGGGAAATAAATACACTCCATCTACACCCCATCTAGGGGGAAAATATGTAAATTTTGTTGGTGTTTTTCAGGTACAAATTTTGATCTATAGACTTTCAGACACAAAAATAAAAACACATTGTTGTAAAAATTGAAAATAAGCTTCATACAAAAACTGTTAACCCAATTTAAATCGTTATCGAGCACTTAATTACATATTATATATTAGAACAAATTAAATCTACTTGACCCGGAGAGGTAAACTGAATTTAAAATATCTTATTATTTTAAACTTGAAATTGTTCTAAGCTAGTAAAACAAAACTAAAAATACTCATAAAATAAGTGCAGAGTTACAAATACTTAAAAATAAAACAAATTTGGTAACACATTTGCTGAATTTTTCAAAATACTTATTATTAAAAATAATATGCTTAATATTTTGGTACCATTCAAAGCTATGGTCTATGCACTGGTATATTTAACATTTATATATTAACATATAATAATCAATTCAATTGACTTGAAAAAAAGTAATTAATTACTGATATGATATGATTGTACATTAGTTCCACTAATACTTTTATCGTCATCAATTATGTGAAGGTCATCAGTGTAGTTTTTAAATATTATGCCTCTGATAAAGATTAAATATAATTCCTACATTTTTCGACTTGTCAGTCGACAACTTTAATTGTGGTAAGACAAATGATCCGTTGAAAACTAATGTATGATTATGGCTTTTGAATGTTTTAAATAATTTTATGAATTGTATCACACCAAACCGATATAAAAGAGTTTAGAGGTGGTAGAAGAAATTGTGTATTAAAGTAAAAAATGCCCAAGTTAAAGATAAAATTATTAAAATAGACTTGCAAATTTTATATTATTTTTTTACCCTAGTGTTTTTAACTATTTAATTACTTCAAATAATACTTTAAATTTACATGTTGTGTTTATGTTATTCAAATAGTTATAAAGTATAAAATTATAAAGTAAATTATTGTTTAATTGACATTATATTTATAAGTTATATCTTTGGATAAAGTTTGTAGCAATTGTATACTTGTGACTTTACGATTAACTTCTCACAAATGTGTACTTCAATTATTTTCTCTCGAGGTTAAGAGCTTTATAAGTCTAATATTACTATGATTATTTAATGAAACAAATTTACTAAAAAACAAAACAAATGACCAAAATAGTTTAGAAGGTTCAATTTATAAAATTATATTTTAAAATGTCAATTAATTTTTTCTTTAATTTGACAAATTGTGTTCAAAATTAAGCATTTATTTGCAAATTCACAAAGTAAAAGCGAAAAAAGTGTATGTGAAGTAATTGATGGAAAGTAAATTGTTGTATATTATTGCGAATAGAAAACTAAACAACGAATAAAACGTTTTTTTTTTATATAATATAAAGTTGATGATATTCGAAACATATCATGATTATAGAGTCCAAGAAAGTATTTTGAAAATAATTTTTGTAAAGGTAAGTCGGTTTCTTTATAGTAGATTTGTATCAAAAATTAATTGTTTTAATTCAGGCAAAAATATACTCTTCATAAATGAAAAAAGTTGCATATATAATGGTGAAAATAAGAATAAGTATTAGAGCGGCCTTAAGATTCTATTTTAATAAAAGGTTAACACGAGATAGCAGTAATTCATTCTGAACATATTTACACATTAACTTTGACACTTAATTAAAACCTATATTATTGGCTGTTCGAATTTAGGTATTCTCAAGTATTGAAATTCGTTAAAGACGAGCAGGATTTTTAAATTTAACAATCATAATTGGGTCTTTTATCTATCTAACCTACTGACCCATATACGAGAACAGTTCCAACCGAGTCTAATCAGAATATAAAAAAAAGACATTATTTAGGAGCATTATTATTATAATTAAAAAAGCAAAATATGTTGAACAATATTTTATAACGGCAAGTCCTAACAAAATATTATACTGAACTCGGTATGATACATTGATGTCAATAAGGATAACGACGTAGATAAGACATCATAAATAGATAAACATACATTGTAATTGGCGGCAAAGGCCAAACAAAAAGTAGTGAATTAGATACTGTTATTTTTATTAGATGCATTATTAATTTAATAAGGTTCGATAATATTATATTTGCTTTATATATTTGCTCATATTGCGCTCTTTACAATGTAGTTCTGTTATCAAATCTTCTTATCAAACGGAAAATAATCCCTTACTTGCGCTGATAGTAGTTATCACGAAATTGCAAATTTCAGTAGTCTGCAGATTCTAAAAATAGTTATCATGAAGTCTAATAATAGTTATCAAAAACTATGTTTTGATGAAAAAGTCCATGTTCAACATGATTGGGAGAGCAAAAGTCCAACTGGTCTGGTTAGTGGAAAGTCCACAATATGTTATTATGTAAGTACGAGTAAAAAATAATTTTTAATTTTAGTTAATTTTTACTATTAACAGTTAATTTTATACAGCGCACAATTGGCCTCACATATGGCTTGGGTTAATAATAAATTGTATTATCTAATAGTTTTAAGATTAATTTTTTTAAACCACTGCTGAGAAGCAATAAATTCTCCCAAGTAATTTTATAAGAAATGTATGTGTTTAACAGCTATAAATTCAACGTATCGATTAATTAAAAACTATATTATCTTAATTATTTAATTCTTCTAAAATTTGTACGATCAATATAAATATGTTAAGACAGTACTACCATCATTCTAATTAGTTCCTATTTGTTCGTAGTAGGTAAGGTTAGGTTAGTGTGTATTTTTTTTAAAGAACCTCTAGAATAGCCAAAACTAATAAGATTATAGGTTTATGTAATCTGGGTCGTAAACAGTAACATGATCCTATGTCCTGAAAAGGTGATTTTAACATAATATATGAAACTTAAAGTGTGTCAAACGCGGTGGAAAATGTGTGGACAATTATATTTTGATGTGACAGAGGTTACAGATTTAAACTTTGAGTGATCAGTAGTGAATTTTGCTTTGATACCTAGTTTGTAAGTGTTAGACTTTGGGAGTAATTATCATTAGCATTTAGGAAGATCTAAGTCTAAGATAAGTAAGTCTAGGATAAATCAGAATAATATTGTTCTCATGTATGAACGACGGCTACATCTCAACTGGATCATGTATTAGGTTATTGTTTAAGTCATTAGACAATTATGTAAACAAAGTACATACATACATTTTAGCTTTTGTTCAGATTTGTGTTGTACAGTGTGTAACAAGATAGGATAACTGTTTTGGTAATATTTAAAGCTTAACCAGTGTTATTGTATAAGCTTGAAAATAAGCTATTACCTTTTAAAAATTAAAATTCAATCAATAGACCACAACCAGGGACGTTTAAAAAACGACCGTAGACACTAACCATAATATTATTATTACTGTAATATATTATGTTATTATGGGAGTTTTAATGACGTCAAATATTATCTATATATTATATACCTACGCTCCATCATATTAGTTTAGATTTTTGTGTGTGGTAAATAAATGATTTACGAACGTGTCGAAATTAATTAATATTAAATAATAATCATTGTTTGAATTACCACATTTTGGTCTTATTGATGTTATTATATTATTATTATTATAAAAAAAATTAAACATATATGTTATCGCAAATTTTATCAAGATTAACCTATTTGTGAGCTGTGAGAGTTTCGGCTATGATTTGATAAAACTGTGGCTTGGGTCAAGAAGGGCTAGTGTCAATTTTGGGCATAAACCAGTCAAGTACATTTAGTAAAACATGTTTTATATACTGTAAACTAATGACACCCGAGGGCAAAAAATGTAAAATTCAAAAAGAGTTTGGCAATAGAACTGAACTGAAAGAAAACGTTATCACCAACTGCGTCATTAGATAGTATAGTTAGATTAAAAATAATCTACAATCATTATGGTTATGGTATTGTTGATTAAGAAACGACGTGTGTACATACAATATTTTTTATTTACACTTCTTGTTAAATGCCTTTGTTTTTGAGAGTTTAACTTGTATATTTTATTGTTGTGTTGCACAACAATAGTATAAATTTAAAACGGATCAAGGTAATTTAGCGGACCAACAATAATTGCGGCGGACAACGGCTAAATGGAGTTTAAGAAATCATTTAATTAGCATTAATCAATTAGATTATTAGTACCTGTTTTCAAAAGTGTCATAAGACAACATACATTTTCCTGTAATTTGTATTGAACCACCTCCATCCCACCTGCCCGCTGATATGTTGCCATTAACTTTTGGTTTCTAAATGTCAATCTACATCATGTAATGATATATTAATGTAGAATATTTTTTTAATTAAAAAGATTTCTCTAGTCTAGTTTAGCTTATAAGAAAATACCGGTAGATTTAGGTTATTTTCATTGGAGATATTCTTGTATATGAATAAAGTGAAACACCTATGCAAGTGCTATTTGAAAATCGAAAGCTTATGAAAATATCAAATATTTAACAGCTTCGATAACCGGATTTTTAATTATATATGTTATAATTAATTAATAATTATAAGCAGTGTTCGGGACTTAAGCACTTGACATCATAAAAAAAGAGCTTAGGCCTATATAATGTATTATTACAAAAGCTTACTTGTAATGAGTTTATCATATAATCCCTATAATCCAAAATTATATTTTAATGAAATCATTATTAAGTACTTAAAAAAATTATTAAATATGCGTAAAACGTTTATTGGAAAATATTTTAGCTTTTGACTGAATATAAAAAAAATTAGGAAATCTCTTCAAAATCTTCAAGTCTATTCTCTCATATTATAAAGTACTATATATGTACTTGTGCCTAACCTGATAGCAAGTTTATTTTCTATTACCATTATAAGGCGTGTTACACATAATTTTCTTATAAGAAAAACATTTTTATTCCGTTTAAAAGCAAAACAAATAAAAAATTTAGCAGTTAAATTAATATTTTAGTTTTTTCTTCTGCCATAAATGCAGTGTTTACTGTTACCCTAGTGATGTATAATTAACATAATCCATCAAATCCTAGTTGGAACTTGCGAAACACTTCTAATCAAGAATACAATGATAAAATTAATGTTACATACTTCAAGTGGCTGAAGAAAAACAAAGAACTATATACACTTTGGTAATTTCTTACTGTACTGGTTTAGACAGTACTTGGTTTATACTATACTGGTTTAAAATTTACTAATTTGCAGTGTAGTGGTTTACACTGTGCTTGGATTTAAATTTAATACGTTTGAGTGAAATTGGTTAAATTCATTTAGTTTCCATTCCAATGTAAACCAACATTTCACACTCATAGCTTAGTAACAATGTTTTAATTTTAACCCAAAATTCAATTCACCTTAATATAAAATTCTTTAGTATTTACTAATTATGGAGATGCTACGTTTCTGTAATATTTTATCAATAGTATTTTAAAACAACTATGTGCGCTTTCATATCGAAAAAGTTCTTGTCCTAACTTGGACTTTTTTCTAGAAACCTTTTTGAAACAGTTTACGCAAGAACTTTTTTGTTAGACCTGTAAAGTTCTTTCGAGGTCGTTTTGGCCAGGATATGTATGACCAATGTGTAGAAATTCTTCATTATTAAAGTTTCCACTTGAATGTATGTACAATGTAAACCGATTTCCTAAAAAAGACCTGGATTGAAATGTTTAACGGTTCTGGATGTATTTGCAAATGGGAATACCAATTAAAAAACTTTAATGTGTGAACATATTGTTTGAAATGTTCTAGTAGGAACTGGCGAGAACTCATATGAACAGGACTTTTATCAAAAACCTTGTGGAACTTTTTATCGAAAAGTCAAATTGGATAGGATGCTTCGTTGGGCAATTTTCTGTGTTCGAAACAGCTCTAACTGGAACTCTTTGGAAACGATAATTTTGGCGACACGCACTTACCAACGTTGTTGGCATGATTGATTTTCATTTCTGATTCCAAGGCGGCGGCAACAAGGGCGGCTGGCACGACCGTCTTGATCGGTGTTTCGGCGACGGATTCTTCGATTGTGACCTCGTTGGCAATAATTAACGTGGCTGTTGTTATTATTATCGTTATCGAGGCGTTGAAAAGCAAAGACAGACAGCGGTAGTCGGACGTCGGTGGAGAAACGCGGATCGGACATTATACAGTGGTCGCGTGGAGCGACCGGTCGTTGTGCGGGCAATGACTGAAAAGGCTGCCACCGTCCTCCTGGTGTGATGGTGTGTCGATTCGGGGCTGCCTTTTTGTCACAACTCACTCACTCACTCTCTCTCTTTTTCCCTATGAACACCAACATACAGACATAATTTATACACAAGCTCATATTATGATGGTGGTTGGAGAGGTTAGGTGGTGTTGTGCACACTACTCTGGCAATCGCCATAAACCGCTGTTGTTGTTGTTTGCTTATATATCATAGTGTCACACACACCACCACCAAACAGACCGTGTCCTTTATTATATTTTGACGTTTACCCGTGTGTACAACGTATTATAGAGATATATATATATATAATACCGTCGGCAATAATGAAATTGTCCACGCGACACGTCCAGGTACTTGTCCCCAGAATTCCCCAGAACGTTGTTCAATCAAAATATAGGTACGATTGTTAACCCTTTGAGAGGGTGTCTTGTCGATGATTATCAAAAATGGTAAAAAAAAAAAGCCCGTATAACGGGGTGGGGGGGAGGTCACAGATCTCTGTACGTGGATTTCTACAAATCGAAAGTGATGAAATCGTTTTCAAACAAACGCTTCCCGTGCGCAATCCGTAATGGTAGAAAGTTACAAAAATCGATAAAAGCATAATAATATGTCCTGGAAAAATGTATTTTTTAGTATAAGGGTGGACTCGGATAATTGTTCAATTCATTCCCATCCGAGGTCGGTATCCTGACGACACTGTTCATCTTTGATTTCACTCTGATGTGCTGTAACAAAATCATTAATTATTGTAATTAACATGCATGTGTTATTGGGCTGGATACAAGAAAATGCAAGTCATTATTTTCGCGTGACAATAATAAAAAATATTATAGGATAAGAGATGAGTGATAAGAGATTAGAAATATGATATAAGATATTAGTGATAAGAGGTTAAATCTAATTTTCTTCATACATAAACCAACCGATTTCCGGTGGAACTTCCCCGATGGTTTCCATTCGAACGTGCACTGTAAACTGAAAAAAACTCATATAAATAATGTATTTTCTTGATATTATTAAGAAAACATGCCCGCGAGCCGACTCTTACACAACGTTTTTGTTTGTATTTGATTTTTGTTGTCAACATATTCCGTGAAAACCAATAGTAAAATACTAATCAAGCTGAAACAAATAATGTAAACATAATATAATATATATTATAGTATTCTTTTGCTCAAACTGTAAGTGTATATTATTTGATAATTTTTTTTTGATTTAACGTGTTTATGTACATAAAATCTGCGAAAAACAGCAGTTTTCTGGCAATTAAAAAAATTATCTTTAATAGATACCTACTATTATACACAACTGCTCGCACCCAAGATTTGAGTAAATCTGATAAATGGAGAAATGTATTTGACGTTTTCCCACACTTGTTTGATGTTCAGTGTCTGGCTTCATATGGTTTGTTTCCTATCTAACGGTAGGATCTAAAAATAAACTCATATTTTAAGCTTAATTTTATTTTACATTTAATTCTAATTATTTAAATTGCCACGAACAGAGGACGAAAGTTGATGAATTTGTATGTTTTATGTATTTTAATTTCGTTCTGAAAAATCCCACGACATTGTTTTTTAAGCATTTTTCATAACAATTCAGGTTTAGTTGCGTAATTTGTTTTTTATATTAGTTAAGTGCAAATAGTAAGGTTTAAATAATAATAAATTGTTTGTATAATGTTCGTTTTTGTATTCATTGTAGCTTTGCAATTATTAATATTAAAATATAATAAGGAGGACATGGTCCGTCGTGACTTAATAATAATTGCAAATGTATTTGAAGGGTCACGGGGAAGAAAAATCAAAGTCAATGTTTTTGTGAAAATGAGATACTATTTTATTTTTCACTTTTTGTATAAGTAAAATGAATTTTTTTTTTTTTTTTACTCAAATACATTTAGTTTACGGAGTAAACATTGTGTCACATTATTTTGAGTTATGTCTTAATAAACTGGGGATGCGAATTATATATTGAATTATGTATAAGTATAAGAATGCTAAATCAAAAAATATATTTAACTCATTTAATTTTCCCATTTTTGTCTTTATTAATGTAAGTCTTGTTTAAACTTTTTAGATTTACAGAAAGAATAAGCAGACATTTTTAAAAGTACAGTCAAATATATAAATGTCAGCAAATCAAAAAGTTAGCACAGTGAAATAGTTTTAACAAGCTCTACTGATGATGTTGGAATACCTAACAACGTTATGATAATAATTTTGTTTGTTTTTTTTAATAAAATATGTATAAGATACTCGCAGAGTTGTATGTTTATTCGAATAAAACATTATCATTTAGATATAAATCATAGATGACACATTAAATTAATTTAAAAGTTATTCGAATAAGGTTTTGTTTCAATACATTTTTACTTGTATGAATCTTTTTAAAGAAATATTTTAACCTATACATTTTAGTTGGCTAGTAGATTTGCCAAGTGCCCATGTAATGATAACAATGTGAACCCTTGTGGGTTTCAAGATAGTTACACGAAGATGATGATGAGTAAATGTAAGATTGTAGTTGGCACTCATCAGCAGAACTAGATTTCAATTAGAGAGCACTGTCAGTTACTTAAGTAAGTATAGTTATAATGACAGTTTGAAGCATCCGATGCGATTTATGTTAGTACTAATATAGATACTATATAAAGCAATACAAATACATTTTTTTTTTGGAAATAGAAATGTTATTAGTTGAAAGAGAAAGGGAGAAAAAAGTTTAAATAAATATTTTGTATTGGTAGTCTTATAATTTTTTATTTCTATTTATTTTATTTGTGGTTTAAAAAAAATGATTGTATTTTATATAAACTATAAGCAACTAGTATTTATTGTTTATTCAAATAAATCTTATATATACCATAATATTATATTTTTTCTTTGCTACAAATGTTTAAGATGAAATTTCTTTAGTTGAGTAAAGGCATAATATTATGTCGTCCACTCAAAAATATTAACTAAAATACTTATGTATTTTAGTTGGTGTATTCTCAAGAAAATGTATTAATAATACCTGGTTAAAATTATATTGTTTCACGTATTCAACCTTAGTTGAAATAACAAATCATTAAAAAAAAATGTTGTAGGTATGGTTTTCTTATGGTAAATTGAACGTCGATGAAAAACTAGGACAGTTGTAAATCTTTCTTTCCTAGAGTTGATATAATAATAAGTCATTTTTCAAAACTAACACAAGATGTTTTCAATTAATAACCACCACTAATACAATTAACTAAAAATAATACCTTATTAAATTAGTTAAATATAAAATACACATACTTCAATAAGAATAATGATATTATTATGTTATAAACTTATTTTAGTCTCTTGGGAAAAAATCAAATCATCTAGTACATTGTTTGTTTGTTGATAAAACTTTAAAAAACAAACTAAATGTCGTTAAAAAAATTTTTTTAATTTTTTAAGGAATATAATTATTCATATTATATAACACTAGAATATTGCGTAAAAATACCAGTGCAATGGAAACTAAAACGTTAATGTACTACCATCGCCGAGCACAGTCAGTCAAATGTATAGCGAGCTGGGTACATCTAAGACAAAAATGGATCTTGACATACAATTTTTCAAAGAGTACATGCGAAAACAGTATCACATTTCAAACCCAGACGGTAAAGTAGTATATTATTTTTTTTAAAAATATAATTTATTCTGGTAAAAAATATTGTGCTCTTGATATTACACACCAAACAATTATTAATTAGACGATTAAAATATTATCAAAATGTTTCTGTTCATGTGTAAGAATAGTTTGGAGAAAACCAAAGTAAAGTTTGACCACCTTGGACTGTACTTAATTTGGACTGTGCTGGTCGTACTGTGCTGGATTTTTACTAATTCCAGTTTCGTATTGAAGCGTTTGAATGTGATAAAATCTTGTTCAGATTTAATAATTGCTTTGACTCAACTTTGCTAACTTCTTCTGTACTGATTATAGTGTGCTTGGTTTTTTAAAAATTATTATTCAGTGGCTGTATTAGCATATTTTACACACATAATCAAGTTTAATAAGTTTATGTATTCTTCAAATCTTATGGACAATGGTGGAAAGATTAGCCAGTTACCGATTGGACGGCTATTGTTTTGCCTGGGGTGTACTTAACTTAAAAGGTTCTTTCCATACACTTAATAATTTGTGGAAGATTGATATCACATTATATAAAAATGCAATGAAAAAAAAATTAAATTATTAATTAAACCCCGTGAGATATTGAGTGGCCCATGATAGTATTATCAGCCTGTAGGTATATGTTAGACCTATTTTCAGACTAATTTTCAGCTTTTAAATCCTAAAATTCCAAAAAAACCTAAAATATTCCAACCCCCTCCCCCCAAGGGGGGTTTCGGATCTACAGAGGTGCTGTACACGAGTGATAATTAGGTCCAAAGGAAAAAAACACATAATTATATACCTTCTCAGCAAAAATAAATAAATGGAAATAAACGAGAACGCGAATAAAAGCGAAAGTTAATAGTATTATGTAAACCAGTATTGTTTGTTTGATCTATTGTGTCTTATTAATACTAATTAGTTACTAATGTAAATTATAAATACAAATAATAAAAACAACCTAAAAAAATAATATTTTGTTGCAAATATGTAGATATTAATAAAAACACACAAAATTTAAATTAAAAAAAAAACATCAATATTGACATATAGCAATGTAATGTTATTTTCATAAGATATATTTTTAATCGTAACAATAATATTTTGATTGAAAATTATTGGCACAATTATTTAATTAGATTTTTTCCCATAAATTGTCTTATGCCTAAAACGATAGTATTGTAATAAAATATATACTAATTATCAAAGTAAAACTAATATTTTTTTGGTTGTGCACAGTTAAAATGATTGATTATGATGCTGTAAACTTAGTAAAGCTGTACATCTTAGTTAGTAATATTATATACATCTCATATATATATATATTATAGGAAGAATAATGCAATCAGAAGCTAATTAAAAGCCTAAACAATGACCTTTTCTCTGTTATCGGGCGAGATGAGTGTAATAACATTTTTGTTATTGGTATTGGAAATGCGTTTGGCTACCTATATCATTACTTACACGGTATATATAATAAATGAGTACTAATCTGGCAGATAAATTGTTTATGTAAACCATTTATTATTTTAAACGAATTTTCTGTGCACAAGCTAAGGTGACTTCTTTAGCAAGAGTGGTACCACTCGTAACAGTATACCAACGGTCATCCGTTCAATAAGTGAGTGATAGATTGCAAAGGAATATATTTTGCCATTTTGCATTTGACTTGAAACTTAGTGCCGATTATATTTACACTCCGCGCCGGTCGATTTGTGTTTGTGTGCTTCTTTTTATTGACTTCTTTTTGTTATTTTAACACATTTGTGGATACTTTTGTATAAGGTTAGTAGTGCAATTTGTTTGTGTTAATTAATTATAAGAATATAATTCACCTGGAATACGCAATACAGTAATACTCTCAGTTATTATCACTTTATAAACACAACTTTAGGATCTCCGAACAATTAATATTATTACAGGCAAATTTTCTTATAAGTTAACTGTAGAATATATAGAACTTATCTGTAGAATATATAGAATTATAGAAATATGTAAGACAACAATAGTAGGGTACTAATAGGTTTATATGATTTTTGCCCACTGTACAAATAATAACTTTAAGATAGTGTCTTTGATCTGTAAAGGTCATTTTGTAGAATATGAGAAAAAGTCGTGTAAAAATCTAAAGTAACATGGTTTATTATTTAGGTTGATTTAAAAAAATTATCGTAGAGGTATTTTACATATAGAAATACATTTTTAATTTTTAACTGACTTCAAATAAAGGCACTCAAAAAAATAATGAAATAATGAATTTAACAATCAACAATTAATAACGTATTTAAGTACAATTCAATACCAAACATATTATTAAATAAACTAGTTCAATAATATGAATATACAGACTTAACTTCTTAAACGAATCCTTTATAAACATTAAAATAATTTAACTAGTCTAGGTTAAATTGATTAATATTACATTTATAAGCTAATAAACAATAAACATTAGTTTTACTTTATTAATACATTTTTGCTGCCATAAACTTGAACGAAAAATACATTTAAAATGTAGATTAATTAGTGTTAATTAGGTTCTTGAAATTACTTTGAAATTTTAACGTGACCAATAAGAAAATCTAAGCTTTGAAAAAAAAAAAAAATTGTATCCAGATATGACTTCTGGTTAGAATGTTATAAGCGAGCATACATACAGGTTGAATTGATAACCTCCTCCTTTTTGGAAGTCAGTTAAAAATAAAATTTAATTATTTATATTTTAATTATCTTTAGCTTTATGTTTTGTGCGTCATAGAAATTTGTTACTTTCAATTTTCAAGTAATCAATACTTAAAATAAATATATATGAACAATTTTAACTATAAATTATTGCGTTTTCTGTATATTTTATCTTACTATAATTTTGCTGTTTTAAAATTAACACAATGTATAATTACAAATTAGTGTAAGATTTCAATGGTTTTGGTATATATTCTATTGAAGTTGCTAGTTATGGAGTTGCATAATTCGATAGCCATTAACAACAATAACCAAATAATAAAACGGTTAATGCATAAAGTTAAACCCTTCTTTTTTCTTTTTTGAGACAAAGGAGTTTAACAACGATTTAGGTAACTATTATGGAGATAATTAATTTTTTATAATATTTAAAAATTATAAAAAAAATGTGCATAATAAATAATTATTTAGATTTGCATATAATGTTTCAAATAGACATCTTTAATGTTTATTATATAACAAGTTAGCATAATTTTAAGACTCATATTTTAACATAAAACACACACACAGATATTAGTTTCTTTTAAAATGTATAAAATTGTTACTTTAATAACTTTTATAAGATTCACAACTGAAATAGTAAAAACATTTGTTTCTACTTTTTTTAATTTTACTTAACTGTTCAAATTACCAACTATTTAATTACTTATTTATAATTTAAAAATTGTAAGTTTTTGATAAGATGTAGAACGTTTTAATATTTAAACTATTTTATGAATTGATATTTTTACTTTTTGCTGTAAGTAAGCAGAAGTGTTTTGGGGCTGATAAAGTTCACTATTATGGGAGTTAGATTTTTGAAAGCTATTCACATCAATAATAACAGACATGATATTCAAAACGTGTAATAGGTGTATTATATAAGTGTTTTATTGGGCTAGTTGCATTTTGATTAGCCTGACGGCTCAGCCCTAAGTTGTGCTAATGGGTTGTTTCTCTGGATTGCAAATTCTCAAGGGATTGGAACCTCCCTCGCCTCCGTCTCCGGTCAAATAAATGACTTTAAATGTATTGTACTTGGAAATAATTTAGGGGCAAATTTAGTATACGTTTATAATCCGTCGTCGAAACCGATAAATGACCTACGTTTTATTTGCAATGCCCTTGGATGAACGACCTTTTCGGATAATTGTTACGGTTAACAAAACTGTTTGACCTTTCGTCGTACATCTCACATTTTGTTGTATTTATACTTTTTATGATAAATCGTGCATGTATAATTTACTGATCGATCAGCATTTCTTCGATCAGCGATTATTTAGCACCTCTAACGGTCGAGCATATCAAAAAATACCCAAGTACCTACTATTAGCTTGGAACGTTAAAAGTGTGTAAAAAAAAAGATATATGTTTAAGTATCCATAAAATATACACTTGGGCTTCGTTTTGATGTTAACCGTTCTACACACATAATAAGTATAATATAAGCTATACGCATTTCCTATCCTGATAGTAGTCATAATTACCCAAATAAATTCTTATTGAAAAAGATGATAAAACTTTTATCTATAGACAACTCGTCAAAACAAACATTTCGTACATCATTACTTCAAAAAATAATATACTATTTTCAATCATTATCTACACAATACACGCGCAAATTAAATGTTTCTACGGTATTAACTCTATTTTTATTATACCCATTTTTAGTCGGTACTGCTTCGATGATTTCAAATAACCATTTTATAAATTTATAAATATATAATACCTATATTATTAATTTATAATATATTAATTAAAAATTTTATTAAAATTATTAATTTACATACATATGCGGAAATTGTGTTTGAAATCCAATTCAACTTATTTCAGTAAATTTAACCACAGAATAGATAAAAGCAGAAGGGTCACTTTCAGTGTAAACAAAAAAGTGACGGCAATGTTGTAACGACCTTGCATTGACATTACCTTACCTTTTCTTATCTATACTTAGTATCAATTCAAAATATTGATATCACAATTTGTATTTTATAATAATACAATATATTTGTTTAAATTAGTTATAACTTTTAAGTTTATTAATTGCTAATATATATTTATTTAATAATAGTTATAATATTTTGTATAAATACATATATATATATATATTGTAATTTACTTTTAGTTTTTTGAAAATGGTCACACTGTAACGTCGCAAGACCATGGCCGCCGCGTTTTTGTGTGATAAGTATCGTCCCCGTGTAGATCTCTATCAGTGTCCGGGGCCTGATTTAACTTCCTAAACTCTTAGACCCCGTCAAAATGTATTAAAATATGTGAAATAGTTTGCACCAGAAAAACAATTTTAACCCGATTATAGACATTATTCTTTCATATAAACATACATAAAAATCATGTTTACTGATTTGAGAAGAACCTTTAAAATGCAAAAAGACATTCTCCAAAATGGTTGTAACAATAAATATTGATATAGTGTTTTTAAAATTAATAATTTATCTAAGTATTTTAATAAATACGCAATAAAGTAGTCAAATCCGTTTCTCAGCATCCAAAGTACATAATTATATTTATAAATATATATATATTATGTATGTTTATGAGTGTAAATATAATATATCAGTTATGAACATTAAATTATAAAAAAAAACATTTTATCAGATTCGACGGCATTATTTTTATTGTTAAAACATAATTTTCGCATCATTATCTAATACGATACGATAAATTACACTTATATATATTTTTTAATTATAACAGTTTAAGGCTAATAATTACTTTATTTCGGGCCATTATTAGCTATTTACTATTTTTTTTATTAATCAGTTGTATATTTCATAATATGCTACTATCAAATATAATAAAAAAGGTATATGGTATATTATATCATTGACAATCATATACTGTTTTCTTATTGTCCAATCATCATCCAATGAATAATCAAATAATCAAATGAGTAGTTACCATAAGTAGTTTTTACTATTCAAAAGTATGTAAAGTATACATTATTAAAAACATTGGCGTTTTACAAATCCATAAAAATGTATACAGTTAAAAAATGACTCAACAAAAACATATGTGTTGTTATAATTGTAGGCATGCCGGAACCAACAGAAGTAGTCATATCCGGTATTGCTGGAAGATTTCCAGAATGCGACTCCACCGAAGAGTTCAAAGAAAAATTATTTAACAATGCCGATTTGTTGACAGTCGACAACAGAAGATGGCCACCAGGTAATTCAGAGTGTCCACAGGATAAAGATAGCAGCCCGCGTTTTAAAGCTTTTGACGTTGCTCCTTAGAATGGCTTTCGAATTCTGAAAATCATATAATGTGTACTACATTATTTGATTGACCTTTCAGGTATGTACGGGGTACCAGCTAGGACTGGCAAACTGAACGAAGTCAACAGGTTTGACGCAGAATTCTTTGGAGTTCACTCTAAATTGGCCAACTCTATGGACGTTCAGCTTAGGATATTGTTGGAAGTCACACACGAAGCGATTATGGACGCAGGTGTCGTATTAGCCAACAACGATATTCGCTAAATCTTTGTAGTACTATTCACTCACGGATTGTATCCGTTTCCTCTTTCCCAAGGTGTAAACCCACAAGATATCCGAGGCACCAAGACAGGCGTGTACGTCGGTATGATGACTACCGAATCTGCGGACTACTTTGAGCGCACTCCGGAGAAAATGACCGGATACGAGACCATCGGAGCCATTAGGTCCATGCTGGCCAACAGGCTTTCGTTTCAGTTTAACTTTAACGGTAATCGCAAAAGCGTTAATACAATTATTATTTTTTATATCAACAACCCCGGCACGATTTTTTTAATGTTATGTTTGTGTCGAATTAGGTCCGAGCGTTGCAGTGGATACCGCGTGTTCGAGTGCACTGTTTTGTTTGCACGAAGCTATCACAGCAATTAAAACCGGACAATGCGAAGGGGCCATTGTGGCGGGAACGAATTTATTATTAAAACCGGCTCTTTCCGTCATGTACCACAGATACAACATGCTCAGCCCGACCGGAACCAGTAGACCTTTTGACATTGGCGGTTAGTTTGTCGACAATGATTTGCATGAATATATTTTACATTAACTCTCGTTGTTGTCCATCGGTCCGTATCGTATGAGTCCACAATTCCTCGCTATCCTTTAAAAATGGGGAGGGGCAGATTTCCAATAGTGATAAGAACAGCTGATTACGGATGCTGATAAGTGATCAGTGATAAGAGATTAATGTAAATATACATGTAATAACAGATCCATGATAGGAGAATAGTGATAAGGAACAACGACTGATAATGGCTCCTTATTAAGATAGTTGATAAGAAATCAGTTAGGTTTAGCTTAGATTTGGATTAATTGGGTAAGGTTGACTTTAATTAATTTAGGTCAGGTTAGGAAGGAAAATTAAATTTTTTTTTTGTCATCTCCCTTATTTAGAGTCCAACAATTATTTTTACCTTAAGCAACCTTTCTGTTGGCATTTTACTACACTTTTTCCGCCAACGCTTTATTTTACTCGTCTTATCTTTTTTTTAATTCCTTCATTGTCCCAGATGACTAGTTTTTGATGTTTATGCGATTTAGCTAACGGTTATGTGAGAAGTGAAGCTATTGTCGCTATATACATTAGAAAATCGAAAGATGCCAAACGGATTTACGCTACGGTGGCGGGAACATCTTCCAACACTGATGGATTCAAAACGGAAGGCGCTACTTATCCTTCACAGTTCATACAGAGTCAATTGATCAGAGAAACCTATGCCCGTGCAAATTTGAAACCTACCGACGTTCATTACGTGGAAGCTCACGGAACCGGGACGGGGGTAAATTGTTTAGCATTATTGTGCTTAGTATTACATATTTAACTGGGTGGGGAAATGATTATCAGGTAGGCGACAGACAAGAACTGAACGCGATTTCTGATGTATTCTGCGTTGGTCGTACAAGTCCTTTGCTTATCGGTTCGGTCAAGTCGAACGTGGGCCACACTGAGCCAGTATCGGGATTGGTATCCATAGCAAAGGTTATTTACGCTTTGGAAACGGGCGTTATACCGGCAAACATCAATTTTGAGACATTGAACCACAATATACCCAAACTTGTTAGCGGTGAACTCGAGGTAATTTCTATATTTGTTCAGCTATATTGTATGTAGCTATCTCGTGATTTCTTCAAAATTGTTGTCAGGTCGTCAAAGAGAAAACTCCACTTCCGGGTGATTTGGTCTCGATCAACTCGTTCGGTGTGGGAGGATCTAACGTTCACGTTATACTCAGAGCCAATAGCAAAAGCTCACAGTCTGTTGCTCTACCAAAAGTCGACATTCCTAGGCTAGTGTTTCTGGCAGGAAGAACCAGAGAACTGTTGAACGAACAATTTGAAGTTGTAAGTATGATTCAAATCAATAATTACGGATTCTTTATTGTTTGTGGCGGTTCGTTAATAATTTGTTAATTATTATTAATGGTTTAGATAGAAAAACACTCAAACGACGTGGACTTCTTGACTTTGATCGATGACATTTACAAGTCGCCCATTCCCGGATACAAGTTTTCTGGGTATTCTATTCTCGGACAAAATCCTGCAAATGTCGAAATAGCAGTACGTTTTAAACTTTGAATTGATCTACACAATTATTGCCAAAACAATGTAATTCGAATTTTTAATTAATTCGATTTTTTTTTAGCAAAACAACTATACCGGAGATAAAAGACCAATCTATTTTATATTTCCCGGAATGGGAAGTCAATCGTTGGATCTGGTTAAAGATTTGGTGAAATTCCCAGTGTTCAAAGATGTTGTCGACAGAGCACACCAGACACTGCTTCCTCATGGCTTCAGCGTTTACGATTTGTTTTATAAATCCAACGAAAAAACATTTACCGACATAATCAACGTTACGATCACAATTGTAGTCGTGCAGGTAATAAACACTTATGCTAAATAGCTTGCTTGCAATTTTAAATACCAAATGCAGAGGTTATAAAATGAGATATACAAAATAAAAATCCTGATCCAAATGTATTTTTAGATGGGACTCGTGGATATTTTGTCGTCATTGGGTATTAAGCCCGATGGTATCATAGGCCATTCAGTGGGTGAACTCGCTTGTGCATATGCAGATGGTTGCTTTACATTGGAAGAGACTTTACTGACCATGTACTGGAGGTCTCGTATTTTGACCCAAGTAGATATTATTCCCGGGGCTATGGTCGCTGTAGGATTATCGTGGGAAGAAACTAAGAAAAGGCTTCCAGAAGGTGTGATAGCTGCTTGCCACAACAGCGCAGACAGTGTAACTATTTCTGGACCCAAGGAGTTGACTTTGAAATTTGCCGAAACTCTTCAAAAAGAAGGTATATTTGCCAAACCCGTGGATTCATTAGGTTATGCTTTCCATTCTCCATATCTGCAAAAGTTAATACCGGCTCTGAAACCGTACTACACAAAGGTAACGGGCGCATCAATACTAATTGATCAATAATATATACAGAATTTTTGAATTGTCTTAGTTAATGGTCAATCCAAAAGCAAGATCAAACAAATGGAAGAGCACATCATTACCAGAAAGTCAGTGGAATACAGAAGGAGCCAAGTATTCATCGATGGAGTACCATCTAAATAACATCAGTTCCCCTGTTTACTTCCATGGAGCTATGCAGCATGTGCCAGAAAACGCTATAACAATTGAAATCGCGCCTCATTGTCTCCTGCAAGCAATTCTAAAAAGATCTTTACCTCCGACAATAACCAACGTCGGTTTAACTAAGAAAACCGTTTCGAACCATGTAGACTTTTTGTTGGAAGCTATCGGAAAGTGAGTTTTTTTTTCTATCTTTAAAGTATATTTTTTTAAGTATTATTTAATACAATTTTTTCATCTGTATAGGCTGTATATTGCTGGGGCACAGCCACAATTGAAAAATCTCTATGGAAGTGTAGAATATCCAGTTGTGAAAAATACACCAATGATATCTCCGATAGTCAAGTGGGATCACTCTAACGAATTTTTAGTTGCAAACTTTGTAGAGAAAGTATGTTTGCTGTAAAAAATTAGCCACAAGAAAACAAGTATGTTTAATTTTTCTTTTTATTAGGGTTCTGGATCAAATGATAACGAAGTGGAGGTTTCTATTGCATCAGACCAAGACAAATATCTTATTGGGCATACGATCGATGGACGTGTATTGTATCCTGCGGCAGGATATATGGTAAGTTGAGCACATATTTGTTTAATTCATTAAAGTTTAAATGCCAAAAGCTAACAAAAATTATTATGCTTGAATTTTTAGACTTTGGTGTGGAAAGTTTTCGCAAAATCACAAGGAAAATGGTTCGAAGAAGTACCCATAGTTTTTCAAAATATTAAATTTCTCAGACCCACAGTTCTGAACAACGACAGTGAGTTTGAATGGGATTTGGTTTGATTCTTCTAAAATCTAACAATAACCGTATTTTTTTAGCGACCGTCAAGTTCGAAATAAACATTCTCAACAGTTCGGGAGACTTTGAGTTGCTCGAAGGAGGAGCGTTAACCGTGTCTGGTAACATTCGCCTGTTGAACGAAAGCTATTCCGATTACCATCTACAACATCCGGTAGCCGTGTCTGAAAAAATGGAATTAAATTCGGAAGATTTCTATAAGGAGTTGAGATTGCGCGGATATCAGTACAAAGACAATTTCCTTGGGTTTATCGAAGCCAACATCGATGGTAATTTAGTAATTTTCTAGTTTAAGCGCTCCGTTTCGAGACCTGTTAGTCCTTGCGTCCATCCGTTTATCGTGATATTTCAAATGAATACATCTCAATACTGTTGTGTAGGCACTAAGGGCAAAGTCGCTTGGATAGGTAACTGGGTGTCGTACATCGATACGCTTCTCCAGTTTCAGCTGATATCGCTCAAGTCGAGAGAACTTCGTTTGCCGACCAACATCAAAGAAGTCATCATCGATCCGGTTTATCATAAAAGCGTTATTGAACAATCGCCGAATCCGAATGGTAATTAATCAAATAAAAAACAAAACACGTGGGCCACATGCGATAAATAGTAATACCTACTAACCACCTTTTCGAAAACTTTAGAAGTCGAAGTCAACAATTTCGTATTTGCCAAAACTACACAATCGGCCGGGGTTACTATATCGAAATTGACCGTGACACCGGCACCTTTGAAAAAGAACACTCAGCCATCTCCGACGTTGGAACGGCATTCGTTTATACCTTATGTGTACATAGTAAGTTTCTAATATTCCTTATACACCGGGCGATTCATCTCATCTGATGTAAGACACTCGTTTCCATAGGAAAATGTTGAAATACTTGAATCGAGTATGGACTTGTTTTTTCCTTTCAAATGGGAACACATGTTTGATTATAAAATGTTAGCGTTTGAATTTTTTATTTTCATCAATCTGTTGAATGATATGCTGGTTGTAGCGTAGCAATTTCCCGTTAAATATTAATATTGACCACCGTCAGTAACACTGTCACCGTCGCTGTGTTTGAACCGGTAAATAAGAACCGCTATCAATAGCTAAAAATATATCATCGTGTCCGGTTATCGGTGTTCTCACCTGTGCGAATATAAATATAAACACGGATTAGATAAAACCAGATGATGCAATTGGCCATTTACTAATAACTGAAATCTCTCCTCGACTCAGTGTGACCACATTCTAGAAATGAAATTATCGTACAAAACATGTTACTATAATATTATATTATCAAATAATTGTTACAGTTCATCGGTGATAACGATCAATAAATTCAGTGATGCACAGTTCTGAAATAATAATTTTTCATAGAGAATTTTTTTGTACTTCTATTGGATACACCGAGGTGAGGTGGGTTTTGGTTTGTTTACATAGAGAGCGCATTTTCTGGTTTTATGTAATCTGTGATATGAATGTTATGAGCTACTGGATTTTGGAAAACCGAAGACATATTGTGACAATTATAAGGGGACATGTAATATCTTTGCAAAGTCATAGCAAATTAGGTAGTTTGATGGAAATTAGAAATTCAAACGCTATAATTTTTAAAAAAAATGTCTACATATTTATGGAACAAAAACACATGTTGCCATTTAGAAAAACGAGGTCCAAACTTGTTTTGCGCATAAGGGATGAAGATGAAAATTTTCAGAGCATTGAAAAATAAAGTAAAACATGTACCAACGAGTATAGGGAAAATTTTTTTTTTTTTTAATATGTGAAAATGAGTGTACTTTACATCGGATGGATCACCCAAAAATATATGTATATATTATATGTGTATAATTTTTTAATCGTTTTTGATTTTAGAACAACGACATGACGACTTATGAAGTGCTGTACGCCGTGGTCGGTTTGTTTATGGAAAACGTGGGAGCGCATTATTTAAAAGCAGCAGAAGTATACAAAAAGAACGTGTTGGCGACCGACATTGTTGCGATCATCGAAAACGAGGCCAACTTTTATGTATGTTTCACAGATTCAACGAAAAAAAAACCGGATTTTGACATTTCTGTTTTAGGTAGACTATTCTGTCCTCTCGAACGGACCCGTCGACATCGAAGAAAGCAAGTTGTCGGCTCAAGACATCAACGTGGTCAGCTACAATGTGGATAACGGACCGTTGCCCGAACAATACCATCTGATTGTCGCCGAAGACACCAAGTTCAATTCGGCCTTGTTGAATAAAATTTCCCAGGGTCTGACCACGAGGGGTTTTGCTCTTCTGGTCGAAGACGCGGCCGCCACGTTTATAACCACCGCAGACTCTGCCGACCTCCAACAAGTACTGGTCGTGGAGAACAACAATAGGAAATATTATCTTTTGAAGAAGGTAGGGCTGCGTGCGTTCAATAGAGTTTAAGGCATAGTAAAATATAACATAGCGTTAATTTGTGGAAAAAAACAATTTAGCGTTCGCCACAATACGAGTACACCGCTTTCAAAGTCGAGGACGGACCGTTCACATGGGTGGATTCGCTGAAAAAAGAACTGGAAAACATCAAAGGCAATCCGAACAAAAAAATAATAGTGTACAGCGACAAGAACGTCAACGGTGTTCTTGGATTTGCTAAGTGCCTGGTCGAAGAGTATGTAGGCGAGTCCAATCCGATCAGGTGAGCAGAGCAGTTTTGTTGAGGTGTTGATTGGTGTTTTTATCTTGTGACATTTATCCAGGTGTGTACTCGCCGATTCCGGTAAGAAATACACGCTAAAGGATTTCGCGCCGATTCTAGAAAAGGATCTGTTCTTCAACGTGGAACAAAACGGCGTTTGGGGATCGTACAGGCATTTGCCAATCGACGTCAACGTTTCCTCGAAAATACCAACGTTCGAAGCCAACGTGACGGTACAGTCTAAAGGTGACTTAACGACACTCCAATGGGTTCAAGCATCCAAGTAAGCGAAATCCGTCAAGAAGCTGTTACCCTTAGCTGCCATTGCAGCAGCTATATGCTAAGGCCTGTGGCTTAAATGATGTGAAAGATGTCTACAGATGCCAACGGTATCTGATGTTTGGACTTTTATCAGTCACACAGAGTTCTGTGTGACTTTAAGGCTTCTACATTTTATACACCTGCATTTGTTCATAGTCTAGTGGAAAATATTTTAACTTTACTCGGTCTACCCAAATATGTTATTTAGAGTTCAATTTCTGAAGTTCCTACTAGTTGTCAGTGAAAGTCTTATGCTTATGACAAGGCTGTCATTCCCTTTGTCTAACCTTACTGTAAATGTATAAAATTAGTGATAAATGATAGTGATTTGTCCTATGGTAACAATGAATCGTTTTTGAAAAGGTTTTTAAATATATTTAAAGGTACTCCAACTATACTGGAAACGATGTGATCAACGTTTCATACGTAGGCGTCAATAACGTTGATTTGGCCTCAGTGTCTGCTATGGTAAGTCATGTTATGGCTACAAATTAATATTCAGTTTTTAACCGTGGCTTCGCTGTAAACATAATAATATGTATTGAATAGAGAACCGAATTTGGTGTGGAATTTTCCGGCATAAAACCGAACGGCAAGAAAGTAATGGGGATAACAAACTCTGGAGCGTTGTCTTCTACGATTCAACAGAACAAAGCTCTCGTATGGGACGTGCCTCAGGACTGGACTCTACAACAAGCGGCAACTGTGCCGTATTCAATTTTCATGGTTAGCCGATTTCAAATCGAAATTTTCACATTAATTTGACTTTAATTCCTTCTCGATGATTCAGGCCGCCTACGCTTTGATATACAAAGGAAAACTGTCAGAGTCCTCCAAAAACGTATTGGTCTTTGTCAACGAAAACACTGTCAACTATGCTGCTATTTCGGTTGCTCTATCGTGTCAATGTAAGGTATTTGTTGTCGCCGAATCCAACGAACAACTCCAATTCGTCCATACTAATTATCCCGGAGTAAGTAGCACACGTCTGGGGTTAACATCTATATAGATCAACAATTGAGATGGATCTTAACTAAAAATAAAACGCAGTAATACAAGACGGATAATATATATGTTTTCATTAAAGGTCAGTCAGTTGTCTGGTACGCGATTTGATACAAAATTCGTCAACATGTTGCTGAGTTCAACCAAAAATCACGGTATAGACTATGTTGTTTTGTCCAAGGACGTCTCCACTCGTCTACCAGAACTGCTTGCCGCCGACAACAAAGTCATTCTAACCGAGAACGTCGACATTTCAGCCTTAACGAGTAATCTTTAACAGTCAACAGCTGTTCAGTGTGTGATTGACGTTCACAGCCAAGGTTGTTAAAACATGTATTTTAACATTTTTTAGACTCGTCCGTTGCGTTCGAACTGATATCGGCTAAATTCGAAGACATTTCGCTGGTCGAGCAACTAAACACCGAAGTATATACGTTTATCGACGATAAACTTAAAAATGATCTCATCAAACCCATACCGTTTATTGAATATGAATATTCGAAAGTTGAATCTGCGTTCAGGTAAGGTATTCTTAAAAAAAAAAACAAAATGTAGATCAGCGCTAAATGGTAGAATTGGTTGCTATCTACAAAAATGAGATTATTCTAATCCGGAATTTGTATGAACACCATTTTTGATGTAATAGCTGTATCATAAATATTTTTTTTTATAAAATCATGAAGCAGCTCAGTTTTAAATAAAAATCACAAAACAAAAATGATCAACATATCATGAATAGTTGACAACTAACTAGGCTATTTGATAACACTATTTAACGTATGCTAATTTGTTTCCTTGATATTTTTTTACTATGAGTCCCACATTATCTTTTTTTTAATTTTTCAAACTATTTTGACAGTGGTATTATACAGTAGTACAATAATTAAATATTTGTATTTAGTGATATTAAATTATTTAATTTTTTTGCGCATAAAACACTTTTTCAAGAAAATTACATCATTTTCTCTCCTCGTTATCATAACACAGAAGAAGAATTTTGCAAACAGGACCTGGATATGATATAATGTTAACATTTTAAACATAGATAAGTTATTGGGCTAAATACAAGAAATTCCATGTCATAATTTTTTAACATTGTTCAAAAATGTTTTGAATAATTAAAAATATCAAGAAATAAGAGATAAGTGACAGGAGAATAAAGTTAACTGATAAGAGATAAGAGATAAACGACAAGTGATAAGAGATAACTTATCCAAGATTTAATATTTTTCCGTGGAGCGTATAAATTAACTTGTTTTTTTCGATTAGGACTGCTCTCATTTTAGAGACTTGCATAATATCTAACGTTACGATATGATTAAATTCTTGTAGAGCATATAACAACAACAAATCGGGGAGAAAAATCTTGATAAAAGTGAACGGAGAAACGTTGAAATATAATTTCGAAACGGTCGCACGAGTGCATTTCGACTCGAAGAAAAGTTATATCCTATCAGGTGAGACATCCATCAAACCCTAACACACTTATACTTGCCATCACATAATTACAATGCTTATTTGTCAAACGTTTCACCAGGCGGTCTGGGCGGATTCGGATTGGAGCTTACCGACTGGGCGATTTCTCGGGGCGCCAAGAATATTATTCTCTGCTCGAGGAGTGGAATCCAAACGGGATACCAGAAATACAGAGTTAGCAGTTGGAAGGAACAAGGTGTCAACATTGAAATTAGCACGTACGATTTGACAACGTTGGCCGGAGCTAAGGAAACGGTCAATTTAGCGTCGAGTTTGGCACCAGTCGGTGGAATATTCAATTTGGCCGGTGTACGATTATTATCTAATATAACAAAAAATCTTCTTTTTTCTATAGCTATAATGAATTTGACAATTTTTCATCCACACAGGTGTTACGTGACGCGATATTCGAAAACCAAACCGCGGCAAACTTCCAAGCCGTGTACGCCAGCAAAGTGTTGACCACCAAATACTTGGACGAAGCGTCCAGAAGCGTGAGCAATGATTTGGAATACTTTGTCACGTTTTCGTCGATCTCGTGTGGCAGAGGAAACATAGGTCAAACCAATTACGGTTACGCCAACTCGATCATGGAGAGAATTTCAGAGCAAAGACAGAAATTAGGCCTGCCCGCTGTAAGGCAACGTCGTGCATTTTATTATTTAGCATGCTTTAATCCCGCTTGCCATCTTCTTCTTACGGTTCCAACTACTTGGGGTCGGCCACCCTAGTCCTACACCTCCACATAGTGCTCGATTTTATACGTCTCAATATCATCTTATCGCCGTTTATCCATCTTTTCTGTGGTCGTCCCTGTCGTCGCATTCCTCTACATCCATCTTTATAACGGCCTCGATTTCCCCCACGATTGATTGCAACTCTTAGACTGCCATTTATGTATTCTTATTTCTTGCGGTATCCTCCCTAGTCACTGCACTCTTCTTGGCATTCTCATCTGGGCTATACTCATTCTCTGTGACGACCCTGATTACAGCAATCGATCCAATGGGGAGGCATCGGCGACGTCGGAATGGCGTACCAGTTGACTCGCGGTAACGACGAAAAGGAAATAAACGGAACTTTAGCACAAAAGATGTCGTCGTGTCTAAGAGTGTTGGACATACTTTTGTCCCACAACTCGGCTGTGGTAACCTCGCACGTGATACCGAACAAAAGAAAGCAAACCAGCGACTCCAAGGCTCAATCGCTCACGGACGCCGTCGCTGCGATAATGGGTACCTACCTAATCGTTTCGCAACGATTCACCTGCACTCCGTGCCGCGAGAGAACGGTACTGAACTAGTATTTTTAAATAAAATTTGTTTTAATCCAGGTATCCAAGACCCGGCTTCCGTCAAGCCAGCTGCTACATTGGCCGACCTGGGAATGGACTCGTTGATGGCGGTCGACATCAAACAGTCGATTGAACGAGGCTATGGATTGACTTTGACAAACACCGAAATACAGAAATTGAAGTTCAGCGAACTAGAAAATATCGGCGCTAAGTAACCACCGCGAATATGACAACGACTATCTTTATTGTTTATCTTTAAAATTATTGTTAAATGAATAATTGTAGTTTAAGTAATATTATAAATTCTGGGCGACGTACATTTTATCTGTGCGTTTGTAATAAATTAATTACAGATGCGTTCTGTTCGAGATACATAACGACATGAAATTATATTTATACTTTGCATAGGGATTGAATACACATAAAACAAACCACAACATATATTCATATTAAATACGGATAATGTTATCTATTTTTTTTTTTTTTTTTTGCCAGTGAAGTTTCACTCTCATTTTGTGATATAAGTACGCCTAAGTTAACGGTATGTTTATGGAATTAATTGTAATATATATTTTTTTTTTTTGGTCAATATATTTGACATTTAAATATATCATATTATATATTAATGACAGTTTTAGTATAATCTTAGTTATGAAATGTATACATATGTTTCAGTTGAAAACTAAATTATGTGTTATTAAATTAATTTTGGTTAACTAAATTCATTCTGATTTATATCACTTCCCTTCGACTTCCTTACATGAACGATGTACCTGTGTACTTGCAATTATATTCTAGTACTTGCAATTATATTCTAGTAATATTCCATGAGATTACAACGCGTCGACAATAGGGTGGTGATTACTTAAACAATTTTCTTAATCATTGAATTGAAAGTTTTGGGACTTCACATAGTACTTAGGAAATATTGTAAGGGTTTAAAAAATGTCAATTAAATGTATGTAAATTAGTGACTATGTAAATATATGTGGTGTTTCTTTTTGGAAACATTTTTGATTATGCTATGTTACTGACAATATTGAAATTTGTATCTTTTTTTATATTTCCTAGAGCTTTATCAACTTATAACATTTAAAAGACAACGTATTTAATTAGCTTTTTAAATTAAAAAATAATTTACTGAAAAATTTGACTGGTCGATAACCGTTTTTTAAATAATTATTTTTAAAGTAATTCAAGTTCAAAATTTAGGATATTATTGTAATTTGTTTCACACGTGTCTTTATTTTTTTATTCAGTACAGTGCTATTTTTTGAGTATTTATTTACTAAAATTTAAGTGAAGGTAATTAGTTATAATTTACATATTATAAATTCTAGGAAACATACATATAAAATGTTTATTTGGTAAGGTAACGCTTAAGTTGTAACAAAATTGGAATCTTTATATTTTTCAACTAAAACACCTCAGCTGCAACTTGACATCTAAACTTTCTTCCAAACAGAGACCATTAACACTTAAATGTATAAAGTTAAACAAGAAAAACATCATTGTCGTTCATGGAGGTTTAATTATTTGTTTCTGTAATTAAAACTCAAAAATCCATAGCAAACTCGTAACAATATTTTATAATTTATGAAAGTTACAAAATTCGTTGTGTGAAAAAAATTACAAAAACTTACAAACTATACCTACTCTCGTATGCTACATACACTATTTTATATACCTATTTCAAAAAAGTAACATTGTTTCTCACATTTATATTACAACACAGCCAAATAAATTAACCCAACACATAATTTTTTACACCACATACAAAAACGCTAAGATGTTGGCAAAAAAAAAAAAATACTTTTTGACCAGAAAATTTCAATTAAAATACACATAAATAAATCTATTGCCAAGATAACAGCATGCATGATGCACTTCTTTGTACAGTTATACCGCATGATGTTTCCTCATGATGTTTGCTTAAGAAATAACTAATTTATTTTCACTGACAATGAATCGTTACTAATCGACTTCTATTTTCCTAAATGAACCTTCAATATCGTTTCCAACATCATCCGAGTGATTAATTGAATTTTTCGGTCGTTTACTATTATCTGCAACAATTGAAGATTGTGCTATAAGCCATTCTCGGTGCTTCTTCAATTCATCGTACCAGTCATCTAAAATATATCAATTATTTTACAATTAAAATGATTAGGCTAAAATGACAATTGTATTTGTTGAAATAAATAATTTGTCTAAGTGATAAGAGAGAATTGATAATAGATGGGTGATATGGATATGTTAATCCACAATTCAATGTTTTTTCGTGAAGGGGAAACATTATTTTTAAAACTGAATTCTTGGACTATTTTGATTAATTAAACAATAATCCTGTAATTCGGGATTAATCATCCGGCCCATCTCTGGCCACATTCAATATTTTGTAACAAATGGAACTTAATTTATTTATAATTTTTTTTTTTATAATTATTATTAGATTATACTAACCTATTATTTCGTCAGACGTCTTTGGGTAAGTCCCCCCGTAGTCCAGTGGAAGAACACTAGGTTCGATGTAATTTTTCAAATCTTCGATGGATTTGTGATTAATCATCTGTAATAATTATATCTCATTGAAGTTTTTCTATCAACCTTTTAAAATACGAATGATTTACCCTTCCGGCAACTTTTTTTTTCAAAATAGTTAACGATAGATTTATTAATGGATTTACAAAACTGTTTGTATTAATTAAGTGAATGCCATGTGTCCGTAAAGGATATGCCCCCTAAACAAAATAATAATCACATAAATTACAAATAATATATTATTGACCTATTTGTTATGGATTACATTTAAAGTAAACATCATATACAGTTAGGTACAATGTTATTTAATTATTAACACTTTTACTTATACATTTATTAAAAGTTTCAACCCTTTCCGAATATATCTATCATAGTAAGAAGCTAACATACTGCAAAAAATAGAGTCAATGGTTGCAAAGTTCCTGTAATATCATATTCAAGGAAACGCTTCGATGCGAATCTGTAGATACTGGTACCCACTTAAGTAATTTTTTACCGTGCTGGTTTCAAATGTACTTGGTTTCGACTGTACTGAGTTTTTTAAGTATATATATTTAACTTAGTTATGCAAAACCAGTTTTGCTTGGCCAATGATTGTTTTAGAGCAAAAATATTCATCATACAAATCAAAGAGTATTATATTTTATAAAGCTTTACAATATGGGTTTTTGTTAAATTACCTACAATGTATTTATGGTGAAATCATATTTTGTAAATCTTACTGAATATTATAAAATCTACTCTGCTTAGTGTATTTTTATAATAATGCCCACGGTTAGGTTTATAATTTAAAAGTATCTACATATTTATCACAATTCATTTATAAACTCATGCTCCAAAGTTTAGGAGATTGCAGATCTATTTTTTGATGTCTTAGACCAAAACAGATTTTTTAATTTTTCATTATTGAAAGAAATTGCAATAATTTGAAGCTTATACAAATTAACCGGTAAATTAATTGAAAAAGTCGAAATTGATTAAAACCTCTTTTTTTCTTAAATATTGCCTATACAAAATTGCTTTAGAACAGACCACCAGTCACCCTCTTAAGTTAAATATAAATTTAAAAAGTTACTTACAAACACACTTTCAATGATTTTCTTAATACATGGTATAAATGCTGCTACATAATTCATTGACATATTGGTGCAATCAATTATGCCTATTTCTTTTTTACAGGTGTCTAACTTGGAGATTCTGAGATCCAATGTCATAAAACACAATTTAATAAAATCATCAAATACAACATTTCCGACCTCTTCAGTCCTTATACGAAGTATGCCAACTCTGTGGCCCTCGCGTGTAGGATTTGGTAATGGCAAGAAACAACTAAAAACATCATTATCAATTCAAATTGTAAGTGAAATATTAATAATTTGTTTCCAATGTTCTTAAACATTTGTCATCTAAAATAGCATGATAATATCAAATATTATGAAAAAGAGTTTAGTTTTTAATTATTGATAAATATAAATGTATATTGTCAATATAAATTTGTTTTAATTATTATATATATTCAGTATAAATTTGTTGGCAATTTTTCAAAATACTTCTTGTTGCTTCTTTGTATAAAACCGTCATAGAGCGCAATAAACAATAAAAAAAAAACATTAGACAATTAGCAATTTCTTACAAGCACACGGATGTGAAAAGTCACCGCTTGATTTATTAAAATGACTATTAGTTATTCTATAACTAAGCAACTAAAAATAATATATACGTTTACATAGATACTAACGATTGTTTAATTGTTCGAACTATCTCTGGTAATGTCGGATCCCACTTGGAAAAGTATTCTGGTGCTGAGAGTTTGACAGTGTAATGCTGGTCTAACATTACTTTGGTTTTCTCCAAACTATTCTTACACATCAACAGAAATGTTTTGAGTCGCTTTTCATCAATTATGTTTTCATCATCTAAAAGGTAATATATTATTTTTTCAGTGTGTAAAATACAATAAGAACACACTATTTTTACGATAACAAAGGATTCCGAAAAAAACAATATAACTTAATATAAAAATTATTGATTTTACCGTCTGGGTTCGGAAGGTGAGGCTGTTTTCGCATCCACTCTTTGAGAATTTTCACGTCAAGATCCAATTTTGTCTCAGATGTACCCAACTCGGTATACATCTGATTGATTGTGCTCGGCGACGGTTGCATTAACATTTTTGTTTCCATTATTTTATTGAACAACGGTATTTTACACATAAACCTTATAAGTGTTATAAAGGTTTTAATTTACAGTAGAAATAAAAAAATTATTTTATTGCATAGTGTAACACTGGAGACTATGAAATGAGCAAGACTATACTAGTTTTTATGGTAGTTTTTTCGACCCTGGGAAATTATGTACAAGGTCGTTTGATTTTTTCCCAAGACTGACGTTACCGAGTTAATATGGTAATGAATTATTAATATCTTGAATATCATTTTAGTTTTAATTTAAAAAAAAACTATTGTTAACTGTTGAATGTTTACATAGTATAAATTTTTAATTTTTCCTTATACAACATTTACAAATGCATCTCTCAAAAGGTCAACACGAGTAATTAATGAATATATTTGCATGCCTGTTCATCTTTTTGTTTTCTAATTCCATGGGTATTAAGTGCAGTCTGCTGTATTATAATAACCAATGCCACGACGGAGGTACCCAAAATAAGAGTACATTAAATATCTTTTAAGAATGAAAATATAAAATTTACTCTGATACCAATTTTTTTCCAAACGATCAAGGCAACCAATCTAATGTGAGATACTCATTTTCTCAAGAAAATATGAAATTTTTGAAAACAAAGTTGGTCCAATACTTATAGGTACTAAATTTAATGTGCCAAATTTCAATTAATAAATAAATATTAGCGAATCATCGGTTTTGTTGATATTTTTAAATGTTTTGTCCGCATATTTATAGAATTAAAAACATTTGTTTCTATTTGAAAACAAAATTAATACCACACTCATTCAGGTAACAATTTCTAAATATCTTGTTCTTATAAAAACTGTTCGAAAAAAAAAAAAAAGAATACTGCAATTTTCATCATTCTTGTTGACTATATTTTTGTCTGTCTTCTCTTCGAAACTAATATGTATATACTACATAACAGTTGAAATTATCATTAATTACATTTTTTTTATGATGTATGTACTTTTAATTAACGTATATTGTTGAAAAAATACATAATCAGTCATGATTCAAGCATATTGTCCTTGCTTTATTTTTATTAAAATTATTTCTTTAATGAATATAATATGATGAAACAATGGATTTTGATAAAACGAAATTTCTAGTTTAATATAAATATGTATAATTCGTTTTTTAAGCAAATATAAAAAATTGACGACACTTTACCTTGAGCTAATTCAATACTTTTCACCTAAAACCGTTCTTTTGCCATCTGTGCTTTTTGTGTTTAATCCCTGTGTTAATTTCCATTTATTTATTAATAAAGATACGCTAATTTGGCAAATTATAGAGTAAATGTCATAAATTTAATAATACATTTATATTAGTTATTAGTTCTTTTGCCAACTATGATTTGAGTGTTCAATACCTATTTGTTTCATAAAATTAAAATAGTTAATTTATCAACAATAATAATTCAACAATGACAATAATTTCCATGTATATAAGTTAACTACCTTTTCAGATATCCTTCATAACTATTTGATTTTTATGATTTTATATTTGACAATATAAATTTGTCACATTTCACTGTCATATAGTGTTTTGACATTTCTATTGAATTGGTATTTTACACACAATCTTCAAAACTTGACTTGAAATACAAATCAAAAGAAAACCTTTATTGCATAATTTATCAACATGCTGCTACTGGGCGGTAGGCTAAGAAAGGTATAATAATATACACCGTTGCATTCAGTTTTTCAGATGTTTTATTATCGTCAAAGAAACATTGTACATCTTCTATGGCAATTATTTCAATATCAAAAAAGCAAGAACTAAGTGTTTTAATCATGACTTTGATTATGTATTTTTACAACAATATACGTTACTTAAGTGCATGTATCATAAATAATTATTGTTAACGATAATTTCAACTATAATGTGAAGTATATATATATATTAGTTTCGAAGTGAAGACAGTATTTTATTTTCTTCAAATGCTAACATAAGTTTTTATTCTTTGATATGCGAATCCTGTCTTTGCAACCACCTAAATAGCACCTGTAATTCATTTATTTCAAACAACCAGAAAATATGCATATAGAATTTATAATATGTAAACTATGACCAAACAACAAAACATTTTTTTTATTTTAAAACAAAAGTTCTCATGATATTATTGTTTTATTATGATATTATCTTCTCATGAAATTATTATTAAATAAATACTCCTGGGAAAAAATTAAACCATGTACATAGTTCCTCAAAGTCGGAAAAACTACCAATAAACTGAATGTCGTTGAATAAATAGTAAAGTCTTGCTCCTTTCGCAGTCTTGAGTGTTACTCTATTCAATATAAGTCTTTTTTTATATCTATTGAAAATTCAGCAATATATATGAAAAAACGTTCAACAATTAACAAAACCATATTAACTCGGTTACCTCAGTCTTGGGAAAAAATCAAACGACCTTGTACATAGTTTTCCAGGGTCGGAAAAAATACCAAAAACACTGAATGTCGTTGAAAAACTAGTACAGTCTTGCTCATTTCATAGTCTTGATTGTTACTCTATGCAATACAATTAATTTTTTACTTCTATTGTAAATTAACTTTTTATAAAACTTAAGGTTTATGTGTAACACCGAGTAGCATGTTGGTAAATTCTGCAAATAAAGGTTTCAGAACAAAGTTCTTTCAAGCTAATTTTTTAACAACCAGACAATATGCATATAGAATTTATAATATGTAAACTATGACCAAACAAAAAAACATTTTTTTTTATTTAAAAACAAAGGTTCTCATGATATTATTGTTTTATTATGATATTATCTTCTCATGATATTATTATCATTTAATTACTCCTGGAAAAAAAACTACTACCATTTATACATAGTTCCTTGTGGTCGATAAAATTACCAAAACACCGAATGTCTTGCTCATTTCATAGTCTTGAGTGTTACTCTATTCAATAGAAAAGTCTTTTTTTATTTCTTTTGTAAATTAACCCTTTATAACACTTAGAGTTCATGTGTACAATACCTTGTTCAGTAGAATAATGGAAACTCAAACGTTGATGCTACCGTCGCCGAGCACAATCAATCAGATGTATACCGAGTTGGGTACATCTGAGACAAAATTGGATCTTGACGTGAAAATTCTCAAAGAGTGGATGCGAAAACAGCCCCACCTTCCGAACCCAGACGGTAAAATAAATAATTTTTATATTAAGTTATATTGTTTTTTTCGGAATCCTTTATTATCGTAACAATAGTGTGTTCTTATTGTATTTTACACACTGAAAAAATAATATATTACCTTTTAGATGATGAAAAGATAATCGATGAAAAGCGACTCAAAACATGTCTGTTCATGTGTAAGAATAGTTTGGAGAAAACCAAAGTAATGTTGGACCAGCATTACACCGTAAAACTCTCAGCACCAGAATACTTTTCCGAGTGGGATCCGACATTACCAGAGATAGTTCAAACAATGAAATTATTGTTAGTATCTATGTGAACATATCAATTATTCTTAGTTGCTTCAAACATGAATAACTTATAGACATTTTAATAAATTAAGCAGCGACTTTTCACAACCGTGTGCTTGTAAGAAATTGCTAATTGTCTAATGTTTTTTTTGTTTATTACGCCCTATGTTAGTTTTATACAAAGTAGCAATATGAATAATTTTGGGTTAATGTCAATAAATTTATACTGACAATGTAAATTTATAACTAGAAATAGTTAACAATTATACTGTTTTCAATATATTTCATATTATAATGCTATTTTAAATTAACTATTAATATTTCACTTATAATTTGAATTGGTAATGATGTTTGTAGTTGTTACGTTCCATTACCAAACCCTACACACGAGGGCCACAGGGTTAGCATTTATTGTAAAAGGACTGAAGATGCCCAACATTTTGTAATTGACGATTATATGAAATTATGTTTTATGGTATTTGATCTCAGAGTTGCCAAGTTAGACACTTATAAAAAAGAAATAAGTATAGTTGATTGCAACAATTTCTCAATGAATTTTGTAGCAGCATTGTTCCCCAGTATTAAGAAAGGCCTTGAAATGTTATTTGTAAGTAACATTTTTATTTTATATTTAACTTAAGGGTATTGCATGTGGTCTGTTCTAAAGTAGTTTTGTATAATCAATATTTAAGAAACAAAAAAAAAGTTTTAATCAATTCCGACTTTTTAAATTAATTTACCGGTTAATTTGTATAAGCTTCAAATTATTAAAATTTCTTTCAATAATGAAATACCAATTTTTTTACATAAAAAAACAAAAAATTAAAAATCTGTTTGGTCTAAATTGTTTAAAAAAACCGGTCGCATGCTATTTCCTTAACTTTGGTGCATTAGTTTATTAATAAAGTGTGATAAATATGTATAGATGTTTTCTTATAAACCTAACCTATTCAGTAATATTTACAAAATATAATTCAATCATTCATACATTGCAGGTAATTTATCAATATACAGCTTTAAAAAATATATTATTCTTTGATTTTTATGATGGATATTTTTGTTCTAAAACCATCGTTGGCCTAGCAAAACTGGTTCTGTGTAGCTAAACTAGAAATATACACTTTTGCAAAACCAGTACGATTCAATCCAAGCACAGTTAAAACCAGCACGGTATGAAATTATCGTCCAGTATCCATAAATTCGCATCGAAGCGTTTTCTTAAATGTGATATTACAGGAACTTTGCAACCATTGACTCCATTTTGTTGTAATATGTTAGCTCCTTACAATGTTAGATATGTTCGGAATTAGTGAAACTTTTAATAAATATATAATATGTTAACATGACAAAATGTCAACCATTACAAATAGAATAATAATATCTTATTTTTTTTAGGCGACATACCCATTACGGATACATGGCATTCATATAATTAATGCAAACAGTTTCGTAAACCCATTTATTAATCTAGCCTTAAGTCTTATAAAAAAAAAAGTGGCCAGCAGGGTAAATCATTCATGTTTTAAATGTTGTTTTAAATTCATGTTTTTAATGTTAGAAATATTTCAATGAAATATTTTTATAACAGGTGATTAATCACAAATCCATCGAAGAATTAAAAAATTACATCGAACCTAGTGTTCTTCCACTTGACTACGGAGGGACTTATCCAAAGACGTCTGACGAAATAATAGGTTAATATAATCTGTAATAATTATTACAAAAGAAATTTACGTTTTTATTTTTAATTGATAACTCGTAGAAAGGAATCCGCAATAAACCAAAAAATAATATTTTGTCGTCTTAATCCAAAACGCTAAATATTCTATTACCTATAGAAATTATAATTACATTGATTTCTGTAAGAAAAAAAAATAATATTAAATAACTTAAGTTCCGTTTGTTTATAAATGCAAACTAATGATTGTGATCAGAGATGGACCGGATGATGAACCCTGGATTACAGAATTATTGTTTAATTAATCAAAATAGTCCAGGAATACAGGTTTAAAAATAAAATTAACTTTAGCCTCTCCACGGAAAAACATTGAATCGTTTATATGTTATCTTACATCTCCCATCTCTTAACACTTATCTCTTATCTCTTAAACGAATTATTTATTTCCATAAATACAAATGTCGTTTTTGTTTAATAAATTTATTTGTGAAATAATTGATATGTTTTAGATGACTGGTATGATGAATTGAAGAAGCATCGAGAATGGCTTATAGCACAATCGTCAATTGTTGCAGATATTAGTAAACGTCCGAAAAATTCCAATAATCACTTGGATAACGCAATGGAAGGTTCTTTTAGGAAATTAGATGTCGATTAGTAACGATTCATTGTCAGTGAAAATAAATTAGCTATTCTTAAGGGAACATCATGCGTTATAGCTGTACATAAAAGTGCAAAATGCATAACTTTATTTATTTATAATGCAATAGATTTATTTTGGTGTATTTAAATTTTAAATTTTTCTGGTGAAAGAGTATTTTGTTATTGTAACATAATAGCGTAGTTTTATGTTGTGTAAAAAATTAAGTGGAGGGTTAATTTATTTGACTGTGTTGTAATATAAATGTGAAAAACAAAGTTACTATTTTGAAATAGGTATATCAAACAGTGTATGCACCATATGAGAGTAGGTATAGTTAGTAAGTTGTAACTTTTTTCACACAACGAATATTGTAATTTTCTTAAAATATAAAAAATTGTAACGGATTTGCGATGGATTTTTAATTTTTCACAACAGAAACAAATATTTAGAACTCCGAGAACGACAATGATGTTTTTCTTGTTTAACTTTATACGTTTAAGTGTGTATAGTCTCTGTTTGGATGAAAGTTTAAATGACGAGTTGGAGTTGAGGTGTTATAGTTAAAAATATAAAGATTCCAATTTTGTTACAATTGAATCGTTACCTAACCGTATATACAATTTATATTTATGTTTCGTAGAATTTATAATAATATGTATATTATGACTAATTACCGTCACTTAAATTTTAGTAAATAAATACTCAATAAATAGCGCTGTAACTTTAATGCTGTAATGTTTTCATTACATTATAACACTTTTATCCATTGACCCCTTCAATCGTAGTGTAATATATTATTTTAAAAAGAAATTATCTCTTAAAAATACCTAGTTATTTTCTCCGTTTCATGGAAATACGAATGATCAAACATAAATTACCGGTCCATTTCGAACACGTTTAAATGACATATATTGTATGTTAAATGATTCTTGATCTAATGTCCCGAACCGCAGTGTTCAATGCAGCAGTAAAAGTTGAGATTATACAAGTTACGGTCATTTAACTTTAAAATTAACCCGAAAAGGTTTTCTGTCTGTATTATTGTTAATTTACCTAGACGTTATTAATAAACATTTTTAATCGTCTAGACTCTAGTGTTTAAATAGTATTTAATCATAATCCACTATGATGGCAGACAACATTTTTTAACGGTTTTTCGAGAATCGACTTGTATTAAAAAACATACATTTTACGGCGTTTCGTATAGACAACACAACATACATGTGTTCTTAAAGTCGCTGAGTGTACATGGTGGAAATTAGGCGTATTAATTGCACAGACATTAACATAATATATTTTTTGTTATTTTTAGTCTCGTTTATGTATTTACAAAGTGTATTTTTGTTCATGTACTTGTATAATAAATAGTCAAGTCAGTTGAAGTATAGCAAGTTCTTTCAATTGGGAATAACTTGAGACAGTATGACAGTCAGATAGCTTAACTGATTTTGAACTTGATTTCCAGTTTAGTAGCCTGTCCAAAAGTTTACATTAGTGTTTTAATAAGCTTTGATTTTGCCATCAAAGCATAGTTAATTTTTTTAGTTTTTTTTTCTTAATAGGTTTTCTTTTTTTTTCAAACCCTATCAATAGTTTGTTCGTAAATCTGTTATTGTCAACTGTCTTCATAATGAGTTAAAAGAAAAATGTTAATTATTTTAAAAGGCTACCTAGTCTAATGCAGAAGAAATTAAAATTTTATATTCCGGATGTATAAATTGCTTATAGTAAACACCCTATAATATTAAGCTATATATTATAAGAATATAATTGAATGTACTAAATTTATTATAAAATTAAAATTTCATTACAATTGTATGCCTTTTTGTACATTTTTTTCAGAAATCAAAATATTAAATTTCTATAGTTAATAGAATATTTCGCGTTTTGGATTCAGACTGAGAAAAAATTATTTTTAGGTTTATTGCGGATTCCTTTCTACGATTTATGAATTTTAAAAAATAAACGTTGATTTTTTTTGTACAATTTTTTTATTAAAACCATTTTAGGTAAAAATTATTCAATAAGCTCAAGGTAAGGTGTCGTCCGTTTTTTAACTTTGCTTAAGAAAATGAATTATACATATTTGTATTAAACTAGCAATTTCGTTTTATAAAAATCCATTGTTTTTTATAGTCATTAATGAAATAATTTTTATTTAAAAAAACAAGGACGATTTAATTATGTGTTTTAATTACGACATTGGTTATGTATTTTTACGGCAATATACGTTGATTAAAAGTGCATAAATCATAAATAAATATGATTAATGATAATTTCCACTATTATGTTAAATATACATAAAAGTTCGAAGAGAAGACAGACAAAAATATAGTCAACAAATATTATGAAAATTGCAGTATTATTAATTTTTGTTAACAGTTTGTATATGAACAAGGTTGATAGTAAAATATAAACATATATAATATACATGCTTAGAAATTGTTACCTAGAAAATGAGTACGGTCTTAATTTTGTTTTCAAGTAGAAACAAATGTTTTTAATTCCATAAATATGCAGACAAAACATTTATACAAATGATAGGGTTTGAATTTTTAACCTTCATCAATCAGATGATTCTCTAATAGTTATTTATTAATTGAGATTTGGCACATGAAGTATTGTTTTCCAAAATTTCATATTTTCTTGAGAAAGTGAATGTCTTACATTAGATAGATCACCTTGAAAATGTATATATTCTTAAATAAGTGAGTAACTATCAACCATTGGTTTTCTCGATCGTTGGGTAAAATATTGATATCTGAGTAAACTTCATACTTTGTTGCCTGTACTCATCCAATTGTATACTATTCAGAATGGTGCTGATACTTAAAACATATGTTATAATAGTTACAACAGGGTATATTAAATACCGATGCAATAAGAAAACAAAAAGATGAACATGCATGCAAATACATTCATTAAATACTAGTGTTGACATTTTGAGAGACATTTTTTAATTTTTTTACAAAAGTTTAAAATGTTAAAGTAATAATTGCTAAAAGTTAAAGGAGATCCGACCATTTTAAAAAAATAAATTAAACTTTCATTATATAAATTTCTATCTACAATTTTTTTAGGTGTATATACGAATAAAATGTCTAAAGGAGAAAATGTCACTTATACTTTTATGATTACCGTCACTTCAATTTTGGTAAACAAAACTTCAAAAAAATGTAATTCACATGTTAAATTAAAAGAGAACCTACTACTACTATAAGAAAAATCCACATTTTCCTTTTCTTTTCTCTTTGATATGCGAATCCTGTCTTTACAACCAACATAATGGCACCTTTATTTCATTCATTACAAAATACCAGATAATATGCATTTAGAATTAATAATATGTGAACATAAATCATTTTTTAATTTTAATAACAATAGTTCTCATGATTTTATTAATTTATCAAGATGTTATTATTAGTTAATTGCCCCTGGGAAAAAATCAAACGACCATGTACATAGTTCCTTGTGGTCGACAAAACTACCAAAACACCGAATGTCTTGCTCATTTCATAGTCTTGATTGTTACTCTAAACAATACAATTATTTTTTTTATATCTATTGTAAATTAACTCTTTATAACACTTAAGGTTTATGTGTAAAATACCTTGTTCAATAGAATAATGGAAACTAAAACGTTAATGCTACCGTCGCCGACCACAATCAATCAGATGTATACCGAGTTGGGTACATCTGAAACAAAAATGGATCTTGACGTGAAAATTCTCAAAGAGTGGATGCGAAAACAGCCCCACCTTCCGAACCCAGACGGTAAAATAAATATTTTTTTTTATATTAAGTTATATTGTTTTTTTCGGAATCCTTTATTATCGTAACAATAGTGTGTTCTTATTGTATTTTACACACTGAAAAAATAATATATTACCTTTTAGATGATGAAAACATAATTGATGAAAAGCGACTCAAAACATGTCTGTTCATGTGTAAGAATAGTTTGGAAAAAACCAAAGTAATGTTGGACCAGTATTATACTGTAAAACTCTCAGCACCAGAATACTTTTCCAAGTGGGATCCGACATCACCAGAAATGGTTCAAACAATGAAATTAGCGTTAGTATCTATGTGAATATATCTATTATTAAAAGTTTTTTCAAACATAAATAACTAATAGTCATTTTACTTAATCAAGCAGTGACTTTTTACAATCGTGTGCTTGTTAGA